AGTCCATTTTCTTCACACCGATTATTTGGCTTGTTATTCCGATTTTCCTGTATTCTCCATTCCTTTGACCTCGGCTTGTTTCTCGTTCTCCTGTTTTCTGGCTCCCTTTACTTGGCTTGTCTCCTGACTATTCTTAGTGTGCTTAACCCGGCCATTCTAAGGACCGGTATTGCACCCTTTACTTACTGTGACCTGTTAGCGTGTTAGGTTTCCGAATCGTGACATTACAACAGGGCCACCATGGAACCTGCTGACATTCCACGGCTGTTAGTGAATCAGGAGGCTAGAATGGATGGTTTAGACCACCATATGGATCAGTTTGCCCAGGCTTTACAAACCATACTGGCTCGTACTGCCCACTTGCAACCTGCCGTTCAAGAAGCTGTTGCTGCTGTGCCAGAACCCATTCCCGATCCAGTACCCGTTCCTGCTCACGTGGTTCACATGACGCCACCACAGCGCTATAGCGGTGATCCAGCATTGTGTCGTGGTTTTCTCAACCAAATTGATATTCATTTGGTGATGAATCCTCGTTCCTACCCCACTGATAGAACCAAAATTGCTTTTTTAATTAACCACTTGTCCGGGAAAGCTTTAGCATGGGCTAATCCCATGTGGGAGAATACGTCCCCAATGTCCTTTGCAGACTTTTTGACAGCTTTCAAACGCACATTTGATCAACCCGGTAGGGTTGCTTCTGCTGGCAAAGCTCTGCTTAGGGTCCAACAAGGTAATAGATCAGTAGCGGATTATACTATTGAATTCCGCACTCTAGCAGCTGAAGTGGTTTGGAATAACGACACCCTCGTAACAGCCTTTCAGGAGGGTTTGGCCGCTTACATACTAGATGAAATAGCATCCAGGGAATTGCCTGTTCTTCTGGATGATGTAATAGATTATATCATTATCTTTGACAACCATATTAGAGAGAGGCGTAGTCAAAGACGGATGAATACACAGGTGATACCTGCTTTACCCAGTACTACATTACTAGCATTACCTCCTCCTAATCAACCATCTCCCGAACCCATGCAATTGGGTGCTATAGGGTTAAGTGAAGCTGAAAGAGCGTATCGCAGAAGGGAGGGGTTATGCCTTTATTGTGGAAAGAGGGGGCATCTCTGCCGTAATTTGCAGGGAAACTTCAGCACCTAAGGCCTAGAGAGGGGTCGGCCTCGGGTGTTATGACTTTTTCCCCTCATGTGTCCATCTCTAGACCGTTTATTACGGTTACTCTTTTGGTCAATCAAACCACTATAACAACCAAAGCCTTGATCGATTCAGGGGCTGAAGACAACCTTATGGATGAGAACTTTGCTAAAACCGCAGCCTTGACTCTGATCCAAAAGGCCGTTGAGGCCATAGATGGTAGACCACTTGAAAAACCTCTGGTGACCCATGAAACCCAAGAAATGGTTATGACTGTGGGTGCCTTGCATAGGGAAAGGTTAACCTTCCAAATAATTGACTCCCCTACAGCTTCCATCATTCTGGGTTTTCCCTGGTTAGTTAAACACAACCCAGTACTTGATTGGGGTTGTTAAGATATACTCTCCTGGGGGGAATCTTGTCAACGAGAGTGTATGGCCCGTATACATTCTGTTTGTTTACTTAATGTGCCCACAGCTAAGCCACTTTCTGTTTCTGTCCCTTCTGTGTATGCAGACCTCGCATTGGTTTTTGAAAAAAGGGAGGCTGATAAGCTACCTCCACACTGTGATTATGACTGTGCTATAAACCTGTTACCAGGTACAATGCCCCCTAGGGGTAAGGTCTACCCGCTTTCTGAGAAAGAAAATCAGGTCATGGAGGAGTACATACGGGAATCCTTAAGTAAAGGTTTTATCAGAAGGTCCTCCTCTCCTGCTGGTGCTGGTTTCTTTTTCGTTGCCAAGAAAGAGGGCGATTTGAGGCCATGTATAGACTACAGGGGTCTGAACAATATAACGGTTAAAAACGCTTATCCTATCCCTCTCATCACTGAGTTGTTTGATCATGTTAAAGGTTCTAGATATTATACTAAACTAGACCTCAGGGGGCTTATAACCTGGTTCGTATAGAAGAGAATGATGAATGGAAAAACAGCGTTCAATACAAGCAGTGGGCATTACGAGTATCTAGTCATGCCTTTTGGACTGTGTAATGCTCCTGCTGTGTTTCAGAACCTCATAAATTATGTCCTTAGAGATCTACTGCATATCTGTGCCGTAGTCTACCTTGATGACATACTTGTATATTCTCCTGATTTGAAGTCACACCATACTCATGTGAGGATGGTGCTTAAGAGATTGTTGCAGAACGGTCTTTATTGCAAGTTAGAGAAATGTTTATTCGACCAAAAATCTGTACAATTCCTAGAGTATGTCATTTTTGAACAGGGATTCAGCATGGATCCTTCTAAATTAGAAGCCATACTGTCTTGGCCTCTTCCCCAAGGACTTAAGGCAATACAGCGGTTTATAGGGTTTGCCAATTATTATCGGAGGTTTATTAAAAACTTTTCATCAATTATTTCTCCAATCACGAAACTGACTAAAAAAGGTTTGCACCCCAGGGTTTGGACTCCTGAAGCCGTTGAGGCCTTCGAGACTCTCAAAAAGGCATTTGCCACTGCCCCTGTGCTACACCATCCTGATCCTTCCCTTCCCTTTGTTATGGAAGTAGACGCTTCTGACTCAGGTGTAGGAGCAGTGTTATCACAAAGACAATCGCATGCCGAACCCCTCGATCCCTGTTGTTACTTTTCTAAAAGGCTGTCTGATTCGGAAAAGAATTACGACGTCGAGAACAGGGAACTATTGGCTATTGTGATGGCTTTTAAAGAATGGAGGTACTTATTAGAGGGAGCTAGACACAAAATCCTGGTTATAACTGATCATAAGAATCTCTCCTATATAGCAGATGCTAAAAGGTTGTCCTCTCGTCAGGCTAGATGGTCTTTATTTCTTTCACGCTTTCAGTACATTATCACATATAGGCCTGGATACCGTAATGTCAAGGCTGATGCTATCTCCCGACAGATACGAACCTTTGGAGTCGATTGCCCCCGCTCCTGAACCCATTGTGCCTACATCTAAGATAATAGCTGCTACCCGTTTGGTTATTTTGTCTCTTTTCCTTGATGGTATCAAGACATACCAATCCCAAACTCCCTCTGAGACACCTGTTGGTAGATTATACGTGAAAGAAAAAGACAGAAAGAAGTTATTAGCTTTATTTCACACCGCCAAAACTGCTGGTCATCCAGGGATTACCAAGACATACAAGGGTCTCCTTCAACAGTTTTGGTGGCCCTCACTTAAACAAGACGTGGTAGATTATGTGCAGGCTTGTCGTGTTTGCACACAGTGTAAGTCCCCTAATGTTAAACCCCCGGGACTCCTAATGCCCCTATCTGTACCCAAGAAACCATGGACCCACTTATCCATGGACTTTATTGTGGATCTTCCTTCATCTGATGGACAGACAGTAATTTTGACTGTGACTGATAGGTTTTCTAAAATGGCACACTTTATTCTACTTAAAAAACTACCTTCTGCGGTTCAGTTGGCTCAGGTATTTGCCAAAGAGGTGTTCCGCTTGCATGGTATACCACAGTATATCGTATCTGACAGGGGTCCTCAATTTGTCTCTCGGTTTTGGAGGGGCTTTTGTGCTGAGATGGGGGTCTCCTTGTCGCTTACTTCCTCCTATCATCCACAATCTAATGGAGCTGCCGAACAGGCAAATCAATCTGGAGTTATATTTACGCTGCTTCACGAATGCACACCAGGACAACTGATCTCATCTCCTTCCCTGGGCTGAATTCGCCTGGAATACCGTGACTCATTCGTCCACTGGCTTAAGTCCTTTTATGGTAGCTTATGGGTTCCAACCCTCTGTCCTTCCCGGTGTGTTCTCCAACAAGGGAATGCCCGCTTTGGACGAGCACCTCACCTCCTTACGGAAGATGTGGGATCAGGTCCGTGCTGCTCTCTCTCGTGCGGCTGCTACTCAGAAGAGATTTGCTGATCGTCGTAGGTGTGCGGCTCCTTCTTATGCCCCGGGTGATAGGGTTTGGTTGTCCTCTAAGAATCTCCGCCTCAGGGTTCCCTCGATGAAATTCGCGCCCAGGTTCATTGGCCCCTATAAGGTATTGCATACGGTAAATCCCGTGTCCTACTCCCTGGCCTTGCCTCCTTCCATGCGTATACCTAACACTTTTTACACCTCCCTTTTGAAGCCCTTGCTCTGTAATCGGTTCTCTGGACCTCTCAGGCGTCCCGATTCCCTCCGCGCAGTCTCCAGTGACATGTACGAAGCGGCTGCTCTCCTTGATTCTCATTTCTCTCGAGGTCGGTTGCAGTATCTGGTGGATTGGAAGGGTTATGGCCCTGAGGAGCGGTCTTGGGTTTCTGTCTCTGATTTAAATGCGCCCTCTTAGATCCGCTCCTTTCATGTGTGGTTTCCTTTGAAGCCTTTGGCTTCCTGCCCTCTTGGCGGTCCTCGAGGGGGGGGTTATGTCATGGCTCCACGGGCGTTTGTGAGGGGAGGCTGAAATCCACTTGCAGCACTCACCCTCAGTCCTTCGCCAGTCTCCCCTTCCCCTACCTGTCGGCGAGCAGCGTCCTCTCAGCTTTATGCGCCGCTCGCGTCCTCCTTCTCGCCTCCCAGCGGCAGCATGTATAACGCTGCACGCTGGGAGCCCGCGCATTTATGCGAATGCCGGGGTCAGTCACGTGACCCGGCGTTAAAGCCACAGTACCATAATCACAGTGGGAGGTGTAAATATCTCCCACGTGTGATTATTAATTCTGATTGGAAGTTATCCAATCAGAATTAAGCACAGGATTTATATACTTACCTTTCCTGTCTCTCAGTGCCCTGTTGTGATCTTGTGATACCTATATTGCAGTTTGCTCGTGTTTCTCTCTGGTTACCGATTATTTGGCTTGTTATTCCGATTTTCCTGTATTCTCCATTCCTTTGACCTCGGCTTGTTTCTCGTTCTCCTGTTTTCTGGCTCCCTTTTCTTGGCTTGTCTCCTGACTATTCTTAGTGTGCTTAACCCGGCCATTCTAAGGACCGGTACTGCACCCTTTACTTTCTGTGACCTGTTAGCGTGTTAGATTCCCGAATCGTGACAGTCAATGGAAAATATGAAGCCTCCTGTCATGTGGTAAAATTATATATCTCTCTATCTGTAAACATCCCTTTGATCATTAAGAGAAGGTGGGAGTCTGGGAGAGGAAATGTATAGAGGGTCAAAGGGCAAAAAGGGGGCATGAACCCAATAACTTCAAGAACAAAGATCCATTTTTACGTTCAGACTGTATAACTTACACTAGTTAGTAATAGATTCTGTGTAGTCACCATTGTATATTTGTAATATAGATGTAATTACATTTTTTATTGTCCTTGTCGCTGCGCACACTTATTATATAATTTGACTTAAAGGTATACATTTTTTTTATTTCATATTTTGTCTCATAGCTGCTATAACTATTTTTTAAGAGACACATTAGTAAAGGTTAATTTTTAATAATCTAATATTATACTTTTTTGTTTTCACTCCTAGTGGTCAGGGTACATGTCCTATCTTTCTTCCCTATGACCATTTGCTAAAGTTGTATATATATAAAAATAAAAAAAATAAAAAAACAGTGGTGCCTGCAGACCCATAGATTGAAGAGGTTGAAAGAGTGTAGAATATTACAGGTCCATACCAGCAGAAGATAATTTGACAGACGTTGTCCAGTTACTAAATATATATATATATGAATGATTTAATGCCAACCCTGAATATTTTTTTGCTATTTTGAGCAACAGTTTCAATGACAGGTGTTACAGAAGTGGAATATACTATCACCAAATCTGGCAGTTCCATTCATGTGATCAGACTTTGGATCTACTCGTAATTCACACTGCAGCTTCATCCAGATTAGTTCAAATTTATGTTTACATTGGTTTTTGTCTACTTGTGTTTTTTCAGCTATGGTCTTCCTTTTTTCTCTCCTCCCTGAATTTTCAACTTTTGTGTGTTGCTTTCTAACACACTCATCCCTTTGTGATTATCTCCTGGATATTTTGTGGGTTTTCTTTTTTCTCCTAATCCCCACTTCCCCTTTCAACATTGTGTGTCTCTTAATGCCTTTCATCTTCTTCTGTATCTCTTAAACTGGCTTACCTTTTTTTTTGGTTTCTTAACCCTCTTGGCCCCCACATACAAAGCCAATGTCAAGCAACCTCAGTCTGAAAGAGTAAAGAATTTGTAGCCAGCACAATGGTAATCTTTAGCTCAGCTCTGAAGAAACAGAGCAATCAGGACACAAGTTTATTTACCTCCCACAGCTGTTCTCTGAGAGTATTTACATTCCATTACTTGCTCTTACGCGTTTCGTTGTCTATATCAGAACTTCCTTAGGGGCCTCAATTGGTTAAAAAAATTAAAATGCAGTTTGAGAAAAACCCCAAAATCGACAAAATAAAAACCTGCCACACAATACTTTATTTACCTGCTCCTCTTGTTTCCTACCTAAAAATACGGGGAATGTGCTTATAAAAGCACTAAAAAGTCACCGTTCATGAAGCAGGTTCAACACTACTGTTCATCAGAACACATTACGTAGATGGCCATTTTGATATAGATTTTTTTAAGTGCATCTGACTTGGAAATATTTTTTCAATTCCACTACATTGGTCAAACATTTTTAATACACTTTGGTTTCCCAACAATTCACACATTAGTGAATAACCTTGACCACCTCAACTGGTTTGAAACATTTGGTGTTTTTCTCGCCACAAATATAATTTAATTAACTCCACAGTTTTAGCTTTTTGTTTAATATACTTACTGAAATTCCTTTTAACAGTACTCTTAAAGGGAAACTATAGTGCCAGGAAAACAAACTCATTTTCTTGGCACTATAGCTTCCCCCTCCCCCCCCCCATGAGTCCACCTTTTCTCCTTCCCCACAGATGTCAGCCGGTGGCAGTAGACCTAATGCGCGGCAGTGACAGCGCTTGCATTAGGATTTCACCATAGGAATAGTGCATAGCGTGCGGACGTCCAGCGTCAGGTTACCAAAAGTCGCCTAACAGCCCGGAAGTTGCTCTAGTGGCTTGTGGCGGAGTTAACCCTAGCAGGTAATTATTGCAGTTTCTTAAAAACTACAATAATTACCTGCTCAGGGTTAAGGGACCTGGGACTATGCCCCCAGACCACTTCAATGAGCTAAAGTGGTCTGGATGCCTATAGAGTGCCTTTAAACTTAATCATGCTGTACGTGGAAGCCAAATCAAAGTTGGGAAGGAAGAAGTGCCTCTAATGGCTTTCAAAGTGACTAGAGGAATGTTCCCTAACAAACATGAACTGTGAAGTTTCTCAGACAAGGCATTGTTTTCAATTGCCAGAGAAAAGAGACAGGATTTATACACAAAATCCACTGCAATATGCTAGAATTGTACAGTATTTGAATTGTTTAGAAACATTGTAATTCTTTTTTTGGTCAGTAGGTGGCACTATTGGATAAGTAGTAGTACTCTACTGACATTGTACTAAATGTTTTATTCATAAATATGCCGGATATATTCTGCTTTTGCTAACGTTAAGTAATGGGTGTAATTTCTGCACATAATAATCTGAACATTTTTCCATAACCATCATTGCAATTTGTCTCAAATGGACTAAAATTTGCAACTGTAATATTATCCTCAATTCCTAGTTAAGTGGATATACATCAGTTAAAGGGACACTACCCAGAGCTCTTTAGTTTATTAAAGTGGTCTGGGTGCAGTGTCCCTGTCCTACTTAGTCCTGCAATGTAAATCACTGCAGTTTTAGAGAAACTGCAATCATTACCTTGCAGGACTAGGACTAAGACTGCCACCAGAAGCACTTCCTGCTTGCGAAGCTATTTTTGGTCACCTGACGCTGGATGTCCTCACGCTCTGCGTCTGTTAAATCCCTATAGCAAAGCATTGAAGTATGGGTAGGGACGAATACAGATGTCTAAATCTGATTCAATATGTAAATCTGAAGTTTTACTGAGGTGCTTCCTTGCTGGATGAGGTTTACTAAGGACATCTGCATACTGAGTAATATAAATTTTATTTTTTTTAGTAAGCATACAATTGATACTGTATATTTTTGCCATTCGTAATATGGTAAACTGTAGCATTGCATAAAACAGACATATATATAATGCTTTCAAATTAAATGGAAGCCATACCTCCCAACAGTCCCAGCTTAAGCTGGACAGTCACAATTTCATGCTTCTGTCACACCATCCTGGGTTAGTTCCTTGGAGTCCTACATCTGAGGACACCAGGTAAATGTCTGCAGAAAGTGCAGCATAAGTGCAATATTAAGGACTCTCACGTGGCACAGAATAATCTTAGGACATTTTGAGCCCATGTCAGAATGTACATATGCAGCCCTGAGTGGGGCTGGCCAGTGTAGCTGGAGGCTTAGCACTCCAATCTATTACACAGAAGGACTCATGATTGAGCTGGGAACCATTATACAGAACAACCCATTATTGAGCTAGGATCCATTATACAGGACAACCCATTATTGAGCTAGGATCCATTATACAGGAGCATCCATGATTGAGCTAGGATCCATTATACAGGAGGACCCATGATTGAGCTGGGATCCATTATACAGGAGGACCCATTATTGAGCTAGGATCCATTATACAGGACAACCCATTATTGAGCTGGAATCCATTATACAGGAGCACCCATTATTGAGCTGGGATCCATTATACAGGAGGACCCATGATTGAGCTGGGATCCATTATACAGGAGCACCCATGATTGAGCTAGGATCCATTATACAGGAGGACCCATGATTGAGTTGGGATCCATTATACAGGTGGACCCATGATTGAGTTGGGATCCATTATACAGGAGGACCCATGATTGAGCTGGGATCCATTATACAGGCTGATCCATTATACAGGAGGACCCATTATTGAGCTGGGATCCATTATTCAGGAGGACCCATTATTGGGCTAGGATCCATTATACAGGAGGACCCATGATTGAGCTGGGATCCATTATACAGGAGGACCGATTATTGGGCTAGGAACCATTATACAGGAGGACCCATTATTGAGCTAGGATCCATTATATAGGAGGACCCATGATTGAGCTGGGATCCATTATACAGGAGCACCCATTATTGAGCTAGGATCCATTATACAGGAGGACCCATGATTGAGTTGGGATCCATTATACAGGAGGAACCATTATTGAGTTGGGATCCATTATACAGGAGGACCCATGATTGAGCTGGGATCCATTATACAGAAGGACCCATGATTGAGCTGGAATCCATTATACAGGAGCACCCATTATTGAGCTAGGATCAATTATACAGGAGGACCCATGATTGAGTTGGGATCCATTATACAGGAGGACCCATGATTGAGTTGGGATCCATTATACAGGAGGACCCATGATTGAGCTGGGATCCATTATACAGGAGAATCCATGATTGAGCTGGGATCCATTATACAGGAGAATCCATGATTGAGCTGGGATCCATTATACAGGAGAATCCATGATTGAGCTGGGATCCATTATACAGAAGGACCCATGATTGAGCTGGAATCCATTATACAGGAGGACCCATGATTGAGCTGGAATCCATTATACACGAGGATCCATGATTGAGCTGGGATCCATTATACAGGAGGACCCATGATTGAGCTGGAATCCATTATACAGGAGGACCCATGAAGATGGGAGCCATGATGCAAGAGGACCCATTACTCAGGAGGATTCATACAGAAACTACTATCCGTTATACATGAGGGTACCTTCCATAGCAGGGATACATGATACAAGACAGCCCTTTCTACAGCTGGGATCCATTATACAGGAGAATCTCTTTCACAGAAATACTGGAGAGCCCCTCTTCCACAGCAGAGATCTATTATACTAAAAAAGGCCCCTTTCACAGAATGAACCCATTATACACAAGAGTGCCTTCCACAGCAGAGATCCATTGCACAGGACGGTCCATTCCACAGCTGGGATCCATAATACAGTACCACTCCCATAGCAGGGATCTATTATACAAGAAGGTCTCCACCATAGCAGGGATCCGTTATACACGAAGGTAATTTCCAAAGATGGAATTCCAAAACTATTTTGAAAGATACTATCTTGAACAATCATATTTTGATATAAGAACTCAGTCTGGGCTCATGATGATCTATTTCATTTTATATGGTCTACATGCAGTTTATTTTATAATACGCTTAATTCACATAAGCTAGTATTATTGACCTGCTGCTACTTTTTTTCCCCCCACTGTTTTTCTACTATTCTTGTTCTTTTTACCTACACAAAATGATCACACAGATAAAACAGTATTTTTTTAACAAAGTATTATAACAGGGGACGAATAGGCAAACCACAGTGTGCTGAGACAAGAACGGCAACCTCCAGAGGATCTTTTAATCAGATCAGTCACTGCATTGGTCATTTTCTAAGATGACAAACCAGAACACTTTTTGCTTTTCAATGCAAAGCAATTTTAAAACACATGCACTTTGAACTTTAGCAAACAATATTTTTTTTATTTATTTTTATTCACATTTTATTCTTTTTGCCAACTCTATGAAAACACATACTGTTAGATTAGGGCATAGAAGTTAGGACAAGGAAGAATTATATTCCAGGCAGGATGCAGTAAATAAAGAAAGATCCCTCTGGATGAACCACCAATAGGAACAAAGGCTAAAATAGTCAAATAACTAGAGCCAAGGTGGTGGAATATGACCTGCTGCATGCACATACTACACAGATTTTCCTAGAATTAGGGGTACGTGGATCAATGTCTCTTTTATGTAACCGTTTCCTTTTTTTTTTTTTTTATAACCCTTTGAATAAACATCCTATTGTAAAGGCTTCCTTTTAATAAATAAAGGAAAAAGCCTATTTAGCACCAAAATTCAAAGGTAGAGATGAGAGAATTTAAGGTGGTAATAATAATAATAATAATAATAATAATAATGATATCAGGACAGAAAAGCAGCTTCATGGGGGCTGAACAGAAATGTTATCAGGCATAGAAGTGCCTAGAGGTTGCTACGTTGAGGACAGAGACATAGTGTATGTCAGTGCGTAGCAATTGTTACAGTGAGGCAGTGCAAAAATGTACCGTGTGAATATCTAGGGATTATTACAAGTAAGAAAGGCAAAGAGGTGTAGTGTATGCAAGTACCAAGGAATTGTTGCAATGAGATAACTTCCTGACACCTATTTTATGTGGCTATTTCCGTAATGTTACAGAAAAGCAGAGAAGAAATATTGAATATGAGAGTGCGTAGAAATTGTTACAGGAACTCAAGTGACCAAGTTGTAGTGTATGTGGCTACTTAGAATCTGTTACAGGAAGGCAAGTGACTCAGATGAAGTGTGATACTGCCTAGGCACTGTTAAAAGCAGGCAGAGTGGTATGTTTATTGAACATAGAATGATGATGAATTGAAAAACATTTTAGGGATTTTCTAGTACAGCTATATTCAAACCTTTGTTATTTTAAGCTATAATTTGTCATTCAGACTTTAGTTCTGAACAGTTTGGTGCTTAGTGAAAGTAGCTTGTAGTGTATAAGAGGGCTTACAAACTGTTACTGGCAAGCAAAGCATGTGGTCTCCTATATAATGTTACAACACACAGTGCAGATATCTAGGGCTTCTGCAGGATTGCCTACTATCACACAGGTGCAAGTGCCAGAGCAGAGTAGGCGAGTACCTAAGGACTGTTTCAAGAAAACAAGTGGCTAAGGAATGGCATATGAGTGCTTAAGGATTTCTACAGTGAGGGGAGTGAAATTGGTGGAGTGTACTACAAAGTCTAAGAGGCAGGAATCCACGAGAGAAGAAACATGGAAATGAAGGCCTGCAATTTTAGGATGGGAATAGATGCAGAACAATGGGGGCAGAAATAGGATATGACTTTGTAGCACAGGCAGATTATATATACAGTAGTCAGGAATTGTGAATGGAGTGATTACAAGGACTGAATATCTATACTGCTCCTAGATCCAAAAAATAATGATGATTTAAAAAAAAAAAAAAGTCAGACGCCTTACCCAAGCTTAACCTAGTAACATTAATACAAATCTCTGCCACTTACAGTAATAAATCAGCACCAGATCACCAGGTAAAGCAAGAGGCAGCTCCTAATACTGACAGTAAAACACCCCCAGCCCCAGGAAAGGGGTGTCAGTAAAACATGACACGGTATATCTGTTGCTCCCTCCTCAGGGTATAGAAGGTTTAACTCTCACTTCTTCTTCCGCTCTTGAGAACAGCGAGGGCAGAACCTGGGAGTAGGAGAGAGAACGTTAGATAAAGACAACAACCAAACCATGGGCAGCTGTCCACACAAACACGCCAAGTGTGAGAGCAAGAGTGTGAGTGGAAGAGAGGGCATAGAGGGGCTAGGCAAACTGTGGAGATACGTGGGCACCGCTCCCAACATCCTCATGGGTTTTACTTTATTATTTTCAGATAATCCTTAAGGTCTATTGCACAGCGGGTTAAAAGTCAGCAGGAGTGTATCCAAATGCCTGTCATTATGAATGGAGCTTGAAAGGGTCGGAAACTTGATATGCAGCACCGGGCACTGCTGGAGGAGGTCTGTATGTTTGATTTGATGAGAGACATTTACCGAGGTTTCATGAATGAGAATTAACCCAGCTTGGGGACAGATTAAAAAGTGATTACTTTAAGCAGAGCTCACTAGATATACTAGGGGATTACGGTCTATTTCTCCAAATTAATTTGCTTATACTTAAAGCAGGGGAGGTGAACTTTCGGTCCTCCGGATGTTCTGCACTAGATTTTCCATAATGCTCTTAATAAAATGCTGGCAAAGCATCAAGGGAGATGTAGTCCACAACATCTGGACCGCCGAAGGTTCCCCATCCCTGACTTAAAGGGATACTCTTAGAAACAAAAAAACTAATTTGATGAGGCAGTTTTGGTGCATATATATTACATGCTTGCAGTCTCACTGCTCAATTCTCCACCATTTTGGAGTTAAATCACTTTGTTTATGCAGGCCCAGTCACACCTCCCCTGGCTGAGACGCTCACAGTTCACGAAAAAGAGGCTAACAAGGTTATTAACTAAAGTGAAAACTCAAAGTGAATTTCAAATTTTAGGTCAAAGCAGCTGAATTAGAGAATATTTCCAGTTCAGCTTTTTGCATTTAAATTTGAAGTTCACAGTGAGATCTCACTTTTGTGAATAACCCAGTAAATCTGCTAGCTTCCTTTATTGCAACACTGTTTAATTTACAATTTGTTATCGCCTACTCTGTTGATGACCAAATAGAGCCAGGAATAGGCTCATGAAGATTCAATTAACAGAGCAGGATTTAAGAAATTCTAAAGTAAACACATTGTTTGTCATGGAGGCTGTATGAGTCACAGGCTATGGCTGCATAGACAGAAACAGAAGTGATTTAACTTCTAAATGGTAGATAAATAAGCAGTGAAACTGCAGGAGCACGATCTATACACCAAAACTGCTTCAATAAGCAAAAGTTTTTTTGGTTCTTAGATTCCCTTTTTTATTGTCTATATGTAGGAAAGAGAAGAGGCTTAATGTGATAATGAAAGAGTATCATAAAGGATAAGGTAAAGTACACATAGGATGGATAGGAAGTGAGATGAGACAGTAGCAAGTGAGAGGGAGGGTTAGACAGTTTGCCGAAAGGGGATTTTAAGAAGTGAATTTGTGTAATGAGTGAGTGTTAAGCAGTAATGAGAACAATGGACTCTCACCATTTACCACGAGGTTTTGTAGCGAGGCCAACACAGGCAAAATGAAACCATTCAATGGAGCACTGTGGAAAAAATAAGTCATTGTGAGAGCACAGCATCAGACCCTCACATTTGCCCATTACCTGTCAAGGTTTGCAAAACTGTCATTTATTAAGTTAAATGCCCAGCACTGAGGCAAATAAAAACAAAACACAAAAAACAAGAATGATTATGTGCTAACCAATGTGGCAGTACATAAAGCAGTAGGGAAAAAGGAGTACATTTGCACAGGGACAGGCAGTAAATAAGAAATACGCTCACTATTTTACATAAAGGAGTGCGTGCACACACTGACAATGCAGAAGCAGTGACTCTAAGATCACACTGACAAAACGTCAGGCATGCAACCTTAAACTGACAAACATACTGAGAAGAATGTGTGTTCCCAATGACGAGTGCTCTGACAGGCGTGACAAACCGTGGCTGACAAAATACTCCCTTGCTCTTAAAGCTCAGCCAAACATACCACTAATAGACTGTGTGTACTGAATTACATGACACGTTACTAGTCTTTATCTGCAGTTAGCAAGAGTAAAGCAAACTCACATCTGGATTATCACAGCCAATCATTTCCCCATAGGAGACCTGATGGCACAGACAGTATGTTGGTTCGTTTGGATCCACAGGCATATCCAGGACATCAGAGGGGTGCACTTTGCCAAAATTTGTAGCTGGTGTGCCATACTCTGCCCTAAATGATAAAACAAACTTCCATTTAGCCACACTACAATCTTTTTTATATGGATACACCCTTCACACAATAGCACGGTCTTCTCTCCCCAAAATGGGGTTTCCTTTTATCCCACATGGACAGGTCACTCACGTCTGGACTAGTTTGATTTTCTTCTGGTTGATCTTTGGAGCCTCGTCATCTGAGTTCTTCACCTTTGATCTGACTTTTACAGCTTTCTTCTCCTTCTGACCTCTGCCTTCTGCAGAGAGGACAATCATAATTTTACTCAAATGTGTACACAGGAACAAAGAGCTAAGGGACCAGATCTGGGGGTAAGTTAAAAAAACACAAAGGGAAGTTTGTGGGTCAGTATGATTTTGTCAGGGATAGCAACAGCAGGAAGGTGTTATATAAGTTGTATGAGATGAGGTAGAGAATTATGAGATGAAGATGGTACAGTGGGGCAGATAACTAAGTAGTGGTATGAGGTGAGATAGAGGCAGTCACTTACTCTTTTTGCCTTTACTGGAGCAGCTGTCATAGTCACTGGACTCAATATGTTTCTCTTTTAGATCAGCTTCAAAACGAGCAAGGTCAGTATCCAGCCTGCGAATATGCTTGTCCACCTAAGGTGAAGATAGTAAAGATGGGAACAGAATTAGCACACACACACAAAAAATGGTGGTGGAGGGCATTATGTATCTCTCTGCTTTTCTAATGGATTTATGGCAGCTGAAATGGGAGTTGCTTGATTTATCTTCACAGGGAGTACAGCCACTGCATCTGAAATAGTGTTTTTTCCATACCGACAACCATCCAATGGTATACTGCCTCCCTTGGTAAACTCATCAGCATCTTTGGCTTCCATTAGCATTTCTATGCGGATGACACGCAAATCTACCTGTCCTCTCCTGATCTCTCTCCACCCATCTTGACTCGTGTCTCTGACTGCCTCTCTTCGATTTCCAACTGGATGGCTGTTCACTTCCTTAAACTCAACCTTTCCAAAACAGAACTTCTGGTCTTTCCTCCCTCAAGTGTTACTACTCCCGTGTCTGTCTCCCTCCAAGTCAACGGCACTACCATCACCTCTACCTCGAAGGCTCGCTGCCTGGGTGTTCTTTTTGACTCCAACCTCTCCTTCACTCCTCATGTCCAATCAGTCGCCAAATCCTGTCGCTACCATCTCAAAAACATGGCGCGCATTCGCCCCTATCTAACCCCGGATGCGGCGAAGGTGCTGGTCCATGCTCTTGTTCTCTCTCGCCTTGACTACTGCAATCCCCTTCTCAGTGGTCTTACGTATTCCCAGATTACACCGCTGCAATCTATAATGAATGCGGCAGCAAGGCTTATTTTCCTGTCCGGACACACCTCCCACGCCTCCCCGCTCTGTCAGTCACTACATTGGCTTCCAGTTAGATATAGGGCTCAAAATTCAGGTGCTTGCTTACAAGTCCCTACATAATGCTGCTCCAACCTACCTATCCTCCCTACTACATAAGTATGTCCCGTCGAGGCCCCTACGCACTGCCAAAGACCTACGTATATCCTCTGTCCGTACGCCCACCTCTAATGCTCGCCTCCAAGATTTTACCAGGGCTGCACCTCTTCTGTGGAACTCCCTTCCCTTCTCCGTAAGACTCTCACCCAGTCTCCACTCATTCAAAAAAAATTTGAAAACTCAAAAAAGCATATCAATTAAACTGTTAGCAGGTCTTTATCCCCCATCCCCCAGGACTCCTCTCCTGCAACTGTCAAAAATTACCTACTAAGCCCTCAATGAATACTTTTCTAACAACCTACCTTGTATCCCTATTTTTACCCTTTGTTTCACTATACCCCACTCCCTCTAGAATGTAAGCTCATTGAGCAGGGCCTTCCACCTTCCCGGTTCCTGTACGTCCAATTGTCTGTTAAAATTACATGTCTGTTAGTCCACCCGTTGTACAGCGCTATGGAATGTGATTGCGCTATTTAAATAATAAAATAATAACAGGGTTGTGGGCATCTATGTGTTTTATTCCTGGCAAATAGAAATATTAGAATATTGTAATGACATGCAGCTATTGTTGGCCTCTCACCATCTCATATGTCTGCATTGCAAGCTGCACTTTGTCGTCCCCATACTCTTTGCACTTGCCGTATGCCTCCTGCACTTGTCTGAGGAGCTGAAGCTTCTCTTCAGAGCTCATAGATCGAGCGCTGTTCATATACTGACAAGACAATCTGTCTATGTGACACTTCAAGTCTGTGAAAAGAAAGTGGGGTCAAGAAAGGAAGAAACATTTATTATGCTGTTCTAGAGTGGACTCACTATCAGCATATGTCAACAACATTTTGGCAAGGTCACGCTTAAGTCACACTGTTCTATCGTATGCAAGTCACACAATCCTAGTTCTGTCGATGTTCTAGTGAAGGTGAAATCAGTCAACAAGTCACATTGTCCTAGTAAAGGCACAATCAATCAGTGGGTCACCGTCATAGCAAAGACGCATTAAGATGTCGAGTCACACCATCCTACTGAAAGTTCACTGAGCGAGTCCAGATGTCCTAGCAAAAGGTGCACTGATCAAGTTATGATGTCTTCAGATTAAAGGGACATGACACTGAAACACTCACCCTCTGTTCTCTGGTCCAGGTCTCTCATTAGTTGGAAGTTTCTCTGAAGTTCAAAAGGCAAATTTTCTATACCTGCAAAAAAATATATAGGTTAAGGTTAAATGCAGATATCTGAAGACATTACACAAGTACATATGACCAAAACTAAGGACAAACTGTAATGAAAGCAAACAGCATCTACCAGTAAGTAATATAAATATTTCTACCCTATAAAAAACAGTTATTTCCTGAAGTATTGCAAAATCTGAGGGAAAAAACAAAACAAAACAAAAAAAAACACGTAATGAACTACACTGTATTTCAATCATGGAATATACTATGAATAAAAGTGTGTAGACATCTGCTTATTAAACACTTCGGACAAAATTGTTGATCCCCACAAGGTGCTAAAATGGGCCCACATTACAGGATGGATTTTCACTAGATGTTGAAATATTATGAGGATTTGCATTGTGATCATAAAACTTAGCCACAGAAACCCATTTAATGAAAAGCCCTTAAACAATCTAACCACCCCCCTCATCCCCCCAGTCTTATCAAACTTCATAAAAAATGTAAAAACAAAAAAACACCACAAAATACAGAAAGCACGGGATACAGGAGTGCAAATATATGGTATAGCAATGTGTAATTCCTGGCATCACTAGATATTTTATCAAACTTTGACCAGCAATGCGCATGGTGGGGTGGCTCTCAGCCTACCATTTGGTGTACAAAGTTGGATGGATTTGCACAGACAATAAGAAAATAAAAAAATCTGCATAGATGTAGCTGCAGAGGAGCAAGGCCACGCGTGTCAAGGTGAGCCACAATTTGTCAAACTACATGCTAAAACTTGGGGGAGGGAGCAGACCGACTCAGAGCTCCATGACCACTAGAATGATTTGGTAGAGGTTACAGCGTTAAGAGTGCCAATTGAATCCCTAGTTTACAGGTAAGGATTTATTATTCTCCGATTCATTAAAACAGGAATTGTCATGATCTAACAAAGGAATTTTAAGTTTTAGGCTAAAATACAAGGCGCAAACAGTAGGGAAAAATAACCTTTCCAGTTTGCTGATTTTGGACTAAACTTTGCAATATCTCTATCCATTTCCAGTGTGTGATATAGTGGTAGAGAACTGTATTATGTTTGCATTCTACATCAACGAGGATATGCAGTGTAACATATACATCTCCTAGAGTGGAGAAAGGCAACCTTTGGCGCTCCAGATGATGGGGGCTGCATTCACCTGATCAGCACTCCAGATGTTATGGATATGTAGTCCATAACATCCGGAGTTCCGAATGCTGACTATAACTGCTGTGTGTAATATAGATACAAGACTCATGTATTATAGAGAGGCACATACCTGCCCTGTGTGTGCGGTATAGGAACAGAGAGCTAGGTAGATGTGTTGTGTGTTCTATAAATACAGAGAGCCTCCATATACAGAAACTATGTATAATAGAGGCAGATAGCTGCCATTTGTTATGTAAATACAGAGAGTAACCCTGTATGAGTGTTATATGGATACAGAAATCAGCTGTGTATTATAGAGGCAAGCAGGAGCACTGTGTGTGTTATAGAGAGAGCTGCTGTGATTATAGAAGCAAGCAGTCGCCTTGGGTGTGTTATATAGAGAGCTGCACTGTGTATTGTAGAGAGACAAGCAGCCGCCCTGGGTGTGTTTATATAGAGAGCTGCACTGTATTATAGAGACACAAGCAGTCGCCCTGTGTGTGTTATATAGAGAGCTGCTGTGTATTACAGAGACAAGCAGTCGCCCTGGGTGTGTTATATAGAGAGCTGCACTGTATTAGAGAGACAAGCAGTCGCCCTGGGTGTGTTTATATAGAGAGCTGCACTGTGTATTATAGAGAGACAAGCAGCCGCCCTGGGTGTGTTATATAGAGAGCTGCACTGTGTATTATAGAGAGACAAGCAGCCGCCCTGGGTGTGCTTATATAGAGAGCTGCACTGTGTATTATAGAGAGACAAGCAGTCGCCCTGGGTGTGTTATATAGAGAGCTGCATTGTGTATTACAGAGAGACAAGCAGTCACCCTGGGTGTTATATAGAGAGCTGCACTGTGTATTATAGAGAGACAAGCAGTCGCCCTGGGTGTGTTTATATAGAGAGCTGCACTGTGTATTATAGAGAGACAAGCAGTCGCCCTGGGTGTGTTTATATAGAGAGCTGCACTGTGTATTATAGAGAGACAAGCAGTCGCCCTGGGTGTGTTTATATAGAGAGCTGCTGTGTATTATAGAGAGACAAGCAGTCGCCCTGGGTGTGTTATATAGAGAGCTGCTGTGTATTATAGAGAGACAAGCAGTCGCCCTGGGTGTTATATAGAGAGCTGTACTGTGTATTATAGAGAGACAAGCAGCCGCCCTGGGTGTGTTATATAGAGAGCTGTACTGTGTATTATAGAGAGACAAGCAGCCGCCCTGGGTGTGTTTATATAGAGAGCTGCTGTGTATTATAGAGAGACAAGCAGTCGCCCTGGGTGTGTTTATATAGAGAGCTGCTGTGTATTATAGAGAGACAAGCAGTCGCCCTGGGTGTGTTTATATAGAGAGCTGCTGTGTATTATAGAGAGACAAGCAGTCGCCCTGGGTGTGTTATATAGAGAGCTGCACTGTGTATTATAGAGAGACAAGCAGCCGCCCTGGGTGTGTTATATAGAGAGCTGCACTGTGTATTATAGAGAGACAAGCAGCCGCCCTGGGTGTGTTATATAGAGAGCTGCACTGTGTATTATAGAGACAAGCAGCCGCCCTGGGTGTGTTATATAGAGAGCTGCACTGTATATTACAGAGAGACAAGCAGCCGCCCTGGGTGTTATATAGAGAGCTGCTGTGTATTATAGAGAGACAAGCAGTCGCCCTGGGTGTGTTATATAGAGAGCTGCACTGTGTATTATAGAGACAAGCAGCCGCCCTGGGTGTGTTATATAGAGAGCTGCTGTGTATTATAGAGAGACAAGCAGCCGCCCTGGGTGTGTTATATAGAGAGCTGCACTGTGTATTATAGAGAGACAAGCAGTCGCCCTGGGTGTGTTTATATAGAGAGCTGCTGTGTATTATAGAGAGACAAGCAGTAGCCCTGGGTGTGTTATATAGAGAGCTGCACTGTGTATTATAGAGACAAGCAGCCGCCCTGGGTGTGTTATATAGAGAGCTGCTGTGTATTATAGAGAGACAAGCAGTCGCCCTGGGTGTGTTTATATAGAGAGCTGCTGTGTATTATAGAGAGACAAGCAGTAGCCCTGGGTGTGTTATATAGAGAGCTGCACTGTGTATTATAGAGACAAGCAGTCGCCCTGGGTGTGTTATATAGAGAGCTGCACTGTGTATTATAGAGAGACAAGCAGTCGCCCTGGGTGTGTTATATAGAGAGCTGCACTGTGTATTATAGAGAGACAAGCAGTCGCCCTGGGTGTGTTATATAGAGAGCTGCACTGTGTATTATAGAGAGACAAGCAGCTGCACTGTGTATTACAGAGATATATATGTGTGTGTGTGTGTGTAATTAAGATCCCACTCACTGTCCAAATAATGCTCCAGGTACATGCCAGCCGCCATCTTGAACAACAAAAGATCAACTTCCGGCCAGCTGCCGCTCTCTCAACACAGCAGAAATCTCTATGATTTTTGTTCCCGCCATATTGGTTGGGGCAGACAAGACATACACAGGCTATCCAATAAATGTGCTGTACAATCACATTGAGTACTGCATAATTATCCAAAAAGGTAAATCAACATGCTCCACAAACCGGTAATTTGTTCCCAAAATAGGACTCCAGTTGGCTGGAAAAGCATAGTGGGAGTTGTAGGTCAATCTGCAGTTTCATCTGTTTTATTTAAAAAGATGTAATCCAGGGTTTACAATTAAACCAATAAATTTAAACCCCGGACATTCTTTCTCGAAGAACTTTCAGCCTTGCTCGTGACTGGACACTAAGTGGGCATCTCTATATCTTATTTACAGAACCAGCTTTCCATTGCTGACTACAGGGTTTAACTAAATCCGAATGTTTTAAAAAAACCAGATTAAAGGTAAAGTGATAGATGTAACTTACTTTAATAGTATTTATCGCCTGCTCTGTAAATTGAACTTTAATTACAAACAGGACTCTCCCGCAGGGCCTACAAGCTTTTAACAGAGCAGGAGATAAATTCTAAATAACTTGCATTAAAGGAAGTTTAAATAGTATATCTCTCTTTACAGGAACTGTTTAGGTAGGCTATGTAAGTCACATGTAGGGAGGTGTGAGGTAAAAGTGTACTTTAGCATATTTTATTTTTCAATTTTACTCAAAGCAGAGAGTATATTTTATCAAGTCATTATTAAAATACACTTTTACCTTCACTCGTTTAATCACAACTTTAAACCTACTAACTTCACATTACGAGTGTAAAGTAAACAGGCGTCCAGATGTTTAAATCCCCACCAGGAAGAGGGATGCGCTGTACATATATTCCATGGAGGCTAACGTTGTGGCACTATACATACTTAATGGAAGGACTGCATTATCTATGGGCCCATCCTGTAACATGTCTGGCTGAGCATCACAGCAAGTCTAAGGCACAGATGTGTGGCTGGGCATTATGGATCTGGCAGTTTACAATAGAAAACAAGCCAGAGATGGTCTCACTATCTCCCCACTGTAACCTGCACTGACATTGTTTTATGTAATCTGCGATACAGCCAATTCCTGGGAATAAATCCTACCCCAGGCCAGCCCCTGTAATGATTGTAGGTATTCAGTGTGAGAGCACTTACCGTGCTCCAGGGATAACAATACCAGCACACAATGAGTGCCCCCTGCCCGGCAGATTACAATTTGCCGAGGTCCATGTTGTTAGCGAGTCGATGCCTCATAGCTAACTATATCATGGCAGCATCCGGATTTGGGACATGATATGCTAACAGGTGCTCCAAATGTATTTATTTTATTGTTTTGTAGTATATTTGTATGGCACACCATAATAGCAATGCAAAAAAATAAATATGCTAAAATACACCCGAACGAAACGGCAAATAATAAAATACTCTAAAATACACTTTTACCGGTGTGACTAGGTCTGATAAGCAAAGTGATCTAACCACCAAAATGGCAGAGAATTGAGCAGTGAGACTACAGGGACATTATCTATACACCAAAACTGCTTCATTAAGCTAAAGTAGTTTTGGTGACTATAGTGTCCCCTTTTAATAGACACTAGAAGCATCTGAACAGGCATAATTAAGTAGTTTTGGTGTATAGATCATGTCTCTGTAGTCTCACTAATCAATTCTCTGCCATTTAGGGGTTAAGTAACTTATTTCTGTTTATGCAGCCCTAGCCACACAGGGTCAAGAGGGAATTTTTCCCCTAGTTTGTTGCAAAATTGGAAGCACTTCAAACTGTTTTTTTTTTGTCTTCTTTTGGATCAACAGCAAAAAACAAATGTGAGGAAGACTGAATTTTGACATCTCTTTTCAGCCTATGTAACTAAGTACCCTTGCTGTGATTCCCATAACCTGCATTTAATAAAGGTTTTCATTTTCAATCAGATGTTAAAGGATTACTCCAACCACCATAACCACTTCAGTAATTTAAAGTGATCATGGTGGTAGGAGTCAATATGTGCAGTGTTTCAGCTTAAAGGACCACTCTAGGCACCCAGACCACTTCAGCTTAATGAAGTGGTCTGGGTGCCAGGTCCAGCTAGGGTTAACCCATTTTTTCATAAACATAGCAGTTTCAGAGAAACTGCTATGTTTATGAATGGGTTAAGCCTTCCCCCTAATCCTCTAGTGGCTGTCTCATTGATTGATTTTCACAGTGAGAGCACGCCAGCGTCCATAGGAAAGCATTATGAATGCTTTCCTATGTGACCGGCTGAATGCGCGCGCAGCTCTTGCCGCGCGTGCGCATTCAGCCAACGGGGAGGAGAGATCTCCGCCCAGCGCTGGAAAAAGGTAAGTTTAAACCCCTTTCCCCTTTCCAGAGCCGGATGGGAGGGGGACCCTGAGGGTGGGGGCACCCTCAGGGCACTATAGTGCCAGGAAAACGAGTATGTTTTCCTGGCACTATAGTGGTCCTTTAAAACATTGCACATACTGAGTTACTGGAAAATGATATGCCTGGGGCAAGATGCAGTCCCAGCACACAAGACTTGGGCAACTCAGAACGTACAGGCTGCCTAATGTTAGTTCTGTGCATAAATTACGTCTCTTGTCAGGCGAATAAGATAGATCGCTCACTCATCTCTCTCTGTGCTCATTGGTGTTCTTTTTTGTTTTTAACATTTTTGTTCCTTCACTCTCCCTCTCCCTACTGGCCCAGAGCACACACATTGCAAATAATTGAGCAGTGACACTGCCAGGGGAATGATATATATACTCAAAAACCACTCCTTTAAGTTAATAATAATAGTTTGCGATTTTTATAGCACTTAACAAGTATACAAACATAAATACATAAAAGTTAGGAGTTTATGAAGGATAGCTGAGCGGACTGAATGCCTGAGGAAAAAAGTGGGTCTTTAGCTTTTTTTTTTTTTTTTTATAAAGTCTGTAAGGATGGTGCCTCCCTGATTGCGCACGGTAAAGAGTTCCAGAAGGTAGGAGAAGCGTGGCTGAATGCCCTGGAACCTGAGTCTGTCTTTATTCTTGGCACTGACAGGAGGGATTTGCTGGCTGACCGAAATGAACGGGATTGAATGTAGGGTGTCAGGAGCTCTTTCAGGTACTGTGGGCCTTGAATGTTTAAGGCCTTGAAGGTTAAACAGGCCAATTTTAAAATATGTTCGCAATTTAATTGGAAGCCAATGCAGGTAATGGGGAACAGGTGTTATGTGGCAGTTAAAGTTTTTTTGGTGACTATAGTGTCCCTTTAAGTGGTCTCTTTGTCCAGTGGCTTTCCTATATTCATTCCTGCAAAATCCAAGGGATATGTGGTAGTAGAGTCATACTATCACATTTCAACACAACACCAAATCTTTAGATACCCTTTGCACTCCTAAAGCCACAAAAGATTTAAAAGAAATTCAAGCTAATCATATGGCCACTTTTTTTGTGATGTGAATAATATCTAATCACGGCATAGACCTGCTACAATCTTGATACAAGATTATTGAAGATTTCCACTGCACTAAACAGTGGTTTTATGGAAAGCCATGTACTTAAAATGTGGGCAGGAGGAAAAAAAAAAAAAACACTAAAAAAAAAAGTAGAGAGGATTTTTTTTCTCTTCCCACTCCTTCCGTTTTCCCTTTCTTTCCTCTCCAATAATTGTTTCAAAATGCAGTGTGTGTGTGTAATGTATATATATATATATATATATATATATATATATATATATATATATATATATATATAAAATCTTCCATTGAAAAAAGGAAAAATAAGATTGATATAAATAGTAATGTATTACATCTAAGAAAACGTTACACATATACCATGAGCCACTCTGGGTACACGGTAAATAGTGGTTTATGACTTATGCATGTGTAATGTTGCTCTTTATAAATTAAATAATTGCACTAAAAAGACCAGGCTTCTTGAATGCACTGGCAGCATGGTATATTGGGATGGTTTATGAGTTCAGGAAAGCTAGCCTTTGCCTGTATAAAAGTTTGAGGAGTCAAAATGCCTAATTTAGTCTGCCATCAAAGAGACCTAGCAGGTTAGCATTTCATTTTGCGAACTTGGAACAGGGGCTCTGAACCTTAAAATTACAGCATATTTAATGCGAAGAGTGCCAGATTCTTTATCATTTACATGATTGCTGCAGGCTACAACTGTACAGATTTGGTGCCGAAAATACCAAGCAAATTACATCCCCTAGAATACTAAATTCAACCCAGAGATTAGAGTTGCAAATTAGGTAGTGGCTGTCTGGGTCAATGATTTTGTACCCTTCTCTTGTCCTGGAGGTCAGAAATTAGATCACAGTCATCAAGCAGGTTGTCGCTGGTTGTATGAGCATCAGGTTAAAGGGATCCTAGTGTCACCAAAACAACTTTAGCTTAATGAAGCAGTTTTGCTGTATAGATCATGCTCCTAGTCTCACTGCTCAATTCTCTACCATTTAGGAGTTAAATCACTTTTGTTTATGCAGCCCTAGTAGTCACACCTCATGTGACTAGCACAGCCTTCCTAAACACTTCCTGTAACGAGACATCTAATGTTTATACTTCCTTTATTGCAAATTATGTTTAAATTAGAATTTCTTATCTCCTTCTGTTAATAGCTTGCTAGACTCTCCTGTATATAATTAATGTTAAATTTACAGAGCCGTACCACTGATGCTTTCAGAGGCATGATCTATTCACCAGAACTGCTTAATTAAGCTAAAGTGGCTTTGGTTACTATAGTGTCACTTTAAATACGCAGTTTGGTTTAATTCAACTACCAATAATATGAAATTGGCAGAGAATATTGCACCTGAATGTTGATGACTGCTATTTATGAAGAAACTGCTTGAATTACCAGCTAGATGTTGTGCTTGGTTTACTGCTCACACATGCACATCATATTGAGCAGCTTATAGCTTGTTCTCCAGGCCTAAGTCACCACCATCATGCACTGCTTTTATCTGTCACGCATACATCAAAAGATCTTGTAACACATCTTTATCTGCACTGCTGCCACAGAACACAAGTAGTATGTCTAATACATTGCACAATCATTCTTTTTATGCTCACCAATACAGCAGTATATGAGACCTCACCGGTGTCAGACACATGTACAGTTTATCGCACAGACTTCTCATACATGTTCAGAAAACTTATCTGCACACTGCAACCAAATTGATATGAAGTTCTCATGAATTAGTACTAAATATGACAGCACCAGCTCATCCGGTAGAGAGAATATGAAATACACTGTATACAGAGGTTTATTTATATACACTATAATAGAAACAGGGGCAAAAATGGTTCTAATTCATGGTGAGTATCCCCTTTCATTGTTGTAACATTTGGATTTGTCCTAAGCCCCAGTTTGGTTTTATGGAGGGGGAGGCAGTGGAAAGAGGTGGAGGTGAAAAGCAAGACAGGACTGGAAAGCAATGCTGCAAGAGAAGATAAAGACAGGCACCATAAAAGACTGAAGGAAGAAGAGAAACATCAGATGTGGTTGGTGGGTTAGAGTCCATTGAGATCATCATAACAGAGAAGCAATCCTCAGAGAGAGGTATTGTGAACACAACCACATTCAATAAATATACATTCAATGGACACAGGCAGAAGATCAGGCTGGTTGAGGAGACACTATCAGACAAAGCTGCAAGGTCTTAACAAATATTATATTGGAGAAGCAGTGAAAAGGAGTATGTAAGAAGGAAAAGTAAAACAGGACAGAAAACCTAGCTTACGAAAACGCAGAAGATGCCATTTCATTTAACAGACACCCCACCACAACCTCCCCATACCCATAATATGCAGCCACTCTCCCTACCACTGGGGAAAATAAAAATAATAAAACGAAAACAATATCAGTAATTAGGCTACAGTGGATATATGTATATATACACATTTTGTTCGGTATATATGTATACATAAGCCTATTCAGGATAAAAGGCTTTATTGCCCCTTCTCTGAAAGATTAGCAGATCTAGCTAATATAAGTTTGAACGCAGAACGTCACTCCAATAACCAGGATCCTGCCCACATGGGTGGTGTCTGTACTAATCACGCCCCCTTTGTATTTGCAGTGTGCTTCCAGGAGGATGTAACGGAGGGACCAAATAAGGATAAAATAATACATAATAACAGACAAACCCCCCTCCCCCCATTCCCCAAATATCTATTTTATTTTCAGGGTATAAAAAGAAAAGTCTAATATGCTTAAATGCTCTTGCCTTCAACAAATTCAGCATATAGGCAGTTCCTGCTTTGTGGCACTGCCCTCCACAGTATTTCATGTGGCACTGCAAATTGCAGCCTCCTTACACACTGCGCGCCACTGGCTCTCCATGGTGTGGCACTGCGCTGAGCAGCCTCCCCAAAGATAGACACTGCCAGAGCCTTCCATGCAGCACTACACAATGCATCTTCCTCACATGCTGTCAAAATGCACCCCACAGTGCCCACACAAATAGCTCTGTGAATTCCCAGATCAATAGGTGCTGCTCACTTAATTTTCATTTGCGGATACAGAGCCGTATTGCAGTAGACAGACTACAGCCTTGGGAGGTGGAAACTGGGAGTGCATCATAACCTGTGGGAAGTTGAAACTAGCAGTGTGGGATGTGGTAAGGAGTGTGCAGCGCAGCCTGTGGGAGCTGGCACTGGATGTGCAGCGCAGCTTAATCGTGCCACTTGTTCAATGTCAGGAGAGACTTTTTAGGTCTCAGACTTTCCACCTGGTCTGAACCAGATTTTGGCAGTACTTTCCATCAGGACTATTTGAAGTTGTCATGAATTTCTCCATTCTGAGGCTGCCGCACAGCAGTCCTTTCCTTCATCATGTTTTAGAGAAACCCTGATTCAGCCTCTCACATCTCCCATATTGGGATTCAAATGTCCTTTCCTTCCCCCCACCCGCCCAAGTTGAGGCTGACCCAGAATCCCCAATCTCACGCTCCTCACTGGGTCTAGTTCACAATTCTTCCCCAGACATTTAGGCTCCTGGAAAACAACTAGGAGCTGGTGAGATGTTCCACTTGAATGGCGGTGGTGGAGACTGTCAGACATAAGTCCTTATGATGGTCAGTTTTGAAGGGATTCATGTCGAATGAGCATTGGGGTCCATCAGATGTGGGTGCTTGAGACACAGGAGTAAAATGCCCCTGCGAGGTCAGGACCTGTGTTGGTGGAGATGACTGGGTGTCTGGAGCATTGTGCTTCCTCATATGCTTCATCAGGTACGTCTCCTAGGAAAGAAAAACAAACCAAAAAAATGTTCGAGTGACCATATAGAGAAAGGTAAATTAATAGGAGTAGTAAAGTACAGGGAGTTGTGGCATTTTATAAATGGAGTGCTACTCACCGAAGTATATGCACGACTGCAGATGGAGCAAGTATAGACTTTTGCATGTTTGACAGTGTGCGTAGACAGGTGGACTTCCAGAGAAGAGGCGTCCGTGTACGCTCGGTGACAGTTGTGGCACTTAAATGGTTTATCTTTGTTGTGCTGTCTTCTGTGAGACTGAACAGAAACAAAATATATATTATATATACACTTTGTTGTGCATGAGTTTATTAAAGAAGCACTCTAAGTTTAGTAACACAAACCTGTATTCCTAACGTTAGAATACTCTCCAGTCAGTTTAGATGTTTCAGGTCTTCTTTTTACTTACCTTATACCCCAGACTGTCTCCCTGGCTGAGATAAAATTGATCTTGTCCTATCCAATGCATCCCCATAGTGAAGCATTGGAGAAGCTAGTGCACATTAGCTGCAATTTCCACGCTGCTCCAATCCACATCCATTCACAGAAATGCATTATCTCAATGCATCTTTATGTGAAGCATTTGGTGTCGTCATGCACAGCGTGAAGATGCCGAACATCGGTCCTGCACAGAATGCAGGACTACAATATAAAGTGATTCTACTGGCTGAGTATAGCCACTAGAGGTGTTCTTGCAGCTCAATGTAAACACTGCCAATTCTCAGAAAAGGCTGAGTTTACAATTGAGAGACTCATGGGATAGTCTCTTTCCATAAGAAACACTATATTAAGCGGTAGTGATTATGGTGCTTGGTGTCCCTTTATTAAAAAAAATAAAAAAAAAAAAAAAAAAAAGGGGGGGGGGGGGGGAATCCTAAAGCGAGAGTGGCCATTGCCGCCCATGCGTATTTGGTCGCCCTCGCGGGTGGGGAAAAGCACAGTAAGGATGGCGTTAAGGTAGAGATGGGAGAAGCACAGTAAGGATGGAGTTAAGGTAGAGATGGGAGAAGCACAGTAAGGATGGAGTTAAGGTAGAGATGGGAGAAGCACAGAAAGGGTGGAGTGAAGGTAGAGATGGGAGAAGCACAGAAAGGGTGGAGTTAAGGTAGAGATGGGAGAAGCACAGAAAGGGTGGAGTTAAAACAGATGGGAGAAAGATAGTAAGGAAGGAGTTAGGGCAGAAATGGGAGTAACAGTAAGGATGGAGTTAGGGCAGAGATGTGAGAAGCACAGTAAGGATGGATTTAAGGTAGAGATGGGAGAAGCACAGTAAGGGTGGAGTTAAGGTAGAGATGGGAGAAGCAAGTAAGGGTGGAATTAAGGTAGAGATGGAAGAAGCACAGTAAGGGTGGAGTTAAGGTTAAGAAAATCTTAATTAAACAGAACTCGCACTAAAGAAAGCCTAAATAGGGCTCTCTTTACAGGAAGTGTTTATGGAAGGCTGTGCAAGTCACATGCAGGGAGGTGTGACTAGGGTTCATAAACAAAGGAATTTAACTCCTAAATGGCAGAGGATTGAGCAGTGAGGCTGCAGGGGCATGTTCTATACACCAAAACTGCTTCATTAAGGTAAAGTTGTTCAGGTGACTATAGTGTCCCTTTAAGGCAGAGATGGGAGAACATAGTAAGTATGGCGTTAGGGCAGATACAGGAGAGGCAGTAAGGATGATAAGAGGAGCTCAATGAGGAATGACAGACAATAGGGGGGCTCTTGGCACCATAATCACTAAAGCATGGTCAAGTGTTTATGGTGCTTTGAGTGCCCCTTTTAAGCAGAGATGGCAAGAATTCTGTAACTACAGACTAGCAATGATTAGAAATAGGTGAGAGCAGCTCAGTAAGACAAGCAATGTTAATGAATGGGTGAAAGAAGCTAAGTGATAAGAGGTTTTCAGTATGAAAACAAAAGGGAGGTGCGGTCTAGAAGAAGGGCAGGCAACCGTGTGGACTACATCCTCCATAATGCTGGCAAAGCTCCAGGGTCAATGTAATCCACAACATCTGGAGTGACGAAGGTTGACTATACCTAAACAAGAGGGACAAGAACACAACTGTAATAATAATATGCAAAATATTTACCTGAAGATTAGATAACTGGGTGAATGCCTTATCACAGCCTGGATGTACGCATTTGTATGGTCTGTCTCCAGTGTGAATCCTAAAAAGAAAAGAAAAAAATAGAATTACTAACAAGCTCAAGCTCTGACAAATTGAGTTATTTAAGGAGTGGAGGGGACAGGGTGTGGGAAGGTGGGGAGTTAATGAGGGTGAAATGAGCATACAGGATGGTATCCCTCCTTTAAATCAGTTTCCATTCAGACACGTGTGCATGCAGCAGGAGTGGGGTAGGAAGGGGGAGGGCACATGCTGGTCTTGGGGCTCCCCCAGCTCTCTCCTCCTGCTCTCTTACCGTGTGTGCTGCTGGAGGTGAGAGAGCTGGCGGAAGGCCTTCTGACAGTAGCTGCAGTTGTAGGGCTTGGCCCCCGAGTGGATGCGCACGTGCTGGGCCAGGTAGGAGCCGTTGGCGAAGGTTTTGGAGCAGTGCGGACACTTGAGGGGCTTGGATACAACATTAGGCACCTTCGTGTGGATCCTGCCAGAACGACACAGGGGGTGGGTCTTTGGGATCATTCAGATATTTAGGTGGAGCCTGGACACTTTCATAGTATGTACACATGTAGGGAGAGATTTAGGAAAGCACTATATATGTATAGAGGTATTAAATGCCAATGCGTAGAGATTATGGGATGACAAGAAGCAGGAAGAGATATGACAGGTAAGACTGAGGTACAGCATTGTGTAGGTCCAGACTGTAGGTTCAAGAATGAGTTCAGCTAGGTTAAAGCGAGGAAATTAGTAGGAACAAGAAAAGCATTTTAATCTAAAAAGAAGTTTGGGAGAAGTTAGGATAGGACAGAGACAGGGTTGAAGGAAAAACAGCTGTTAATATTTAGGATTACTTTTGCCCTAATAAAAGGTTTTCTTTATTTCTGCCTTTGTGTATATTTTATATTCATGTTCCATTAAAAAGTATTTCTGCAACAATTTCATATTTTCCAAGGGAGCACTGTCATTTTAGGGGATGCTTAGTTGGTGGCAGCACCTATCAGACCAAAGATTGCTCTACTTTGCCCGACTGCTGTACATTCACTGTGTGATGACCTCAGTCATTGCCAGGCATGCAGTTAAAATCCAGTAAGTGTGTGCCTCATTTATTGTTCTGAGACTGCCAGCAGCGCTCTTTGGACAAATATGAAAAGGGAAGGACACAAGAATATTATTAGTATATTTATTATTATACTTTATTTTTAACAGAACATGAAATGCAAAAAAAATAAATAAAAAAGGAAAAGGACACACTGTTAGAAAACCTTTAATAAAATATTAAAACCATTTTTTCTTCAAAACAGCTGATAAGCACAGGAAGAAGTAGGATGAGAATGAGAAAGATTTAAGATATGAAGAAGTATTGTGAATGACAAGGAAGTCAGAAAAGGGTGAGCATGTAATGTTTTGGTAAGTAGTAGGGGAGCAAAGGAAAGGTATATTAATTGTTTGTAAGAAAAAGGACAAGAGGCATAAACATAGAAACAGAATGTGACGGCAGATAAGAACCATTCGGCCCATCTAGTCTGCCTAATTTTCTAAAGAAAGAGTGGGGAGAGCAAAGAAAAATGGAACACAGAGCAGGGGGATAGCAGAGCATACAGAGAGGACAGTGAAAACAGAAAAGTGCTAGTTCCATGGAAAGAAAGCTAAGGAATTGGAAAGGATCTAGTCCACAAGAAACTGTGGAAGATCTGGGAGTGCTGGATTACGTGTGTCATAAGGGCACACGGCACAATGGAAGGGGGGAAGGACACGTGACACAGTGTCTGAATGGAAACGCTCCCTCCCCCCTTTCTAATCCGGCTGCTCGAGGGGGAGAGTGTCGGGTTCTTTCTAGGGGCACAGGTGTAACTCCAGTCTTAGATGCATGATTGCGACAGAAAGCAGTAAGCTTTTGTATCAGTAACAAAGTAATTAAACACAGAACATACACATCAAGGTGGCCAAAAAAAACTCTGTGGAACTAGACCTATCTGAAAGATGCAGTTTTAATTGCATTCCTGTATTTTGGCACCAAAAGGTGCAAGTGAGATCTGCTCACTAATACTATGCTTCTCTAAAACAGAGTGATCTCAAAAGCAGGAGACCTTATTATAGGCAATTTTTTTACACTGTCACAGCAACTACAGCTGGTGTACTATGTCGTGATTTGCCCTCACACCTGGCCAGAGTAGTATTGGAAAGGACTGACAACTGCTCACACTTTGATATGCTGGCAACGAGAGGTGCTTGCTGATTAGGAACATATTCCCTGTTTATAACAATTGTGGATTAGCAGGACCAGCATGGTTGGGTTGGATGTTACACACTAGTGTAATACCCAGAATAATGGAGGCAGTATCAGTGCTGGAGAGGAGTATATTTTTTTTTAACTTCTCATTAAGTCGTTAAAATAATTTTTTATGTTATGTTACTGGACATCTTCCTTCAAGTAATAAAAATGCCTTTAAAAAAACAAAAAAACAGCAACCTCTAAACAGACTTCACGCACAAAGGTCCAACAAAGCACACAGCAAAATGTAACACTAACAGTGCCTCACCTCAGCCTCTCTTACCGTGTGTGCTGCTGGAGGTGAGAGAGCTGGCGAAAGGCCTTCTGACAGTAGCTGCAGGTGTACGGCTTGGCCCCTGAGTGAATACGCACATGCTGGGCCAGGTATGAGCTATTGGCAAAGGTTTTAGAACAGTGCGGGCACTTATGGGGTTTAGCCTCTGTGTGAGACTTGGAGTGAATCTGCATCTCTGACTTCGAGAAAAATGTTAGTGAGCACATGCGGCATCTGGAAGAGAAACATTTTAGATTATAAAACCAGGTAGATCTATCAGTTAATCAAGCATATGTCATGGGCTGCCTCTTCACAGGTCCCTGTAATACCTTAATACATAGAGATGCCCAATACAGGTAGTGTATAGATATCTAAACTATAGTTTCTTAAAATAGAACTAAACAAAATTGGTTACCATGTACAGCTACATCACTGCTGCATACAAGATAAAAGTTTATTATCTATACATACACAGGTCTCAGAGGACGGACGGACAGATTATATTGTTCTTTGGTCTATACGTCCAGCCTCCACTGTCCTGATTCCTGGAAATCAGTTCCAATTACCAGTTGGGCATCCAGAGAAACTCATCTCTTTTGTTAAAGAAGTACACAACCTATTTTGTAGACACCAACCACAAATGTTTCCTATGTGAATAGAGCTTACTGCTTCATAGCAACTCTATGCATCATCAGCAAAAAATGTTACTCCATTTTGCTCTCACCGATAGGTCTTTCCATCCTTGTGATGATCATCCTCATCCTCATTAGAAAGGTCATAAGGATCATTGAGGTGAGGGAGCGTAGGTTCTGGAAGACGTTTCTTTTTTCGACCACGGCCACTTTTCTGTATCCCTGGGATTCCTACTTCTTGAATTTTAGTTTTTGTGAGCTCAGACACGACCTGCAGCGTCTGGGAGCCATGGAGTGTGGACACAATCATTGGGGCAGAGATGGGAAACGTCTGACCTGAAGATGATGGAGTAGTGACCAACGAGCCAGACGGAGATGTGATCACCAGGCCAGCTGCAATAATACAAGAAGACAGGTCAAACATAAAAAACAGGAGGAGGAGATGTTATCACAAGCAATGCAATTTACCCACAAATTAGATCAATATTCTAAATCTGCCATTATACTGTATTGGAGCCAAGACAAAACTTCAGATAACTATACAATATATGGTATCCGTAGCAATAGATATGGACGCTTAGACAAACACTCCAATAAATGTACGGCAGGTGTAAAAGCTACAGCAAAGGTTGGGTATAGATAGGACAGGTGGGGTACACAGACTCCATGGTGCCTGGATAACGTGGGTTACCTAGCCATCGTTCACTTACTTGCCGTCATGAGGCCGGTGGTAGGTACAGGCAGCACAGTGATGTTTTGTGTGACTGAAGCCTGGCTATGAGGGATTCCATGAACTTCCACTTTACTATCTCCATCTACGCTAATCCCAGCAGGTAAGGATACAGAAGTGGGAACAGTCAGAAGAGTAGGATAATGGGACCCCAAATTGCAGCCCTTCTCTTGGATAAGTTGCTCCTTCACCTTGTTCAGAAACATGGAGTTGTCAATCTGCCAATAAGGATAATAGAGTTATAGTGGGAGAGGACTAAAGTAATCATAGGTGGCACATTGAATGGTTAAACAAAATTAATCAGTTGATAAGGAGTTTACAGCAGCAACATTTTGTATTAATCAGAAGGGCTGCCCTAAGCAGTAGGGAAAATATTAGCCAGCTAGTAGACAGTACGCAGTTATTGCAGGACAAACCTTAAGCAAAGGATTCAAAATAGCTCACTTTAGTTATTAGTATACATATGCACACAAACACCGAGAGCTCTTGTCTGCAGCCTTTGCAAGTCCTCCCTTTCAAATCCTACCAAGACTTTATGTGGACGTCCAATCACAGACTTCCCAGTGCAGTTTAATGAGTAGTCTTTGTAAAGCAAGTGCTCTGGGCAATTGCTGCCTCTTCAGTCTAGCGCCACTGAGCTGAACAATCAGGTAGTAAAAAGACAAAATGGTCTGATTGACATCCAGGGGGGTGTAACAAGGTTAGTTCATACAAATGTAAATTTCTATTGAAATTTGCACTTTTGTAAAATGGGAAGGAAAAAATAAAATTTAAAAAAAGGCCACAATCTTCACATAAAGCCTTTCAGCAAGCTAAAGTGACACTATAGTCACCAAAACAACTTTAGCTTAAAGCAGCAGTTTTTTTGTATATATATCATGCCTGACATCTCACTGCTCAATTCTCTGCCATTTAGGCGTTAAATCACTTGTTTTTGTTCATGCAGCAAATAAAGTGCCCTAGCCACTCGTCCCCTGACTGTGATTGACACAGCCTGCATGGAAAGAAAATCATTTCATTTTCAGACATTAACTTGCTTTAGATGTTTTTATTTCCTACTGCTCTGAACCTCAACTTTAAATCACACACAGTAGGCTCATGCAAGGTCTAGCAAGCTATTAATAGTGCACAAGACAAGAAATTCTAAATTAAACAGACTAAACAGACAGACAAAATAGGTTTAAACAAAGAAAGGTCACGTTACAGGAAGTGTTTAGGAACGCTGGACTAATTACATGCAGGGAGGTAGGACTATGGCTTCATAAACAAAGTGATTTACCTCCTAAATAACAAGATTTAGCAGTGAGGCTGCAGAGGCATGATCTATGCACCAAAACTGCTTCATTAAAAGGAACACTATAGGGTCAGGAATACATGTTTGTATTTAGGTGGCTTGTCACCCCTTATTTCCCCTATAAAAGTTAAAAACGCACCTTATTTGCAGTGCCGCGTGGGTCCGCTGGCACTGGCTCCGCCCCCTTTGTGACATCATAAAAAATGGCCGATTTTTTGACAATCCAATGCTTTTCAGATTGGCTAAAAATTGGCACGGCGGGGCCAAATGCCGTTTTGGCCAATCAGGACCTCCTCATAGATATGCATTCAATCAATGCATCTCTATGAGGGAAATTCAGCGTCTCCATGCAGAGCATGGGGACGCTGAATGTCAGGGCTGCTTTTCGGCAGGACTGACCCAGGAAGCACCTCCAAAGGCCATGTAAACACTGCCTTTTCTCTGAAAAGACAGTGTTTACATGAAAAAAGCCTGAATGGAACTATTATACTCACCAGAACAACTACATTAAGCTGTAGTTGTTCTGGTGACTATAGTGTCCCTTTAAGCAAAAGTTGTTTTGGTGACAATAGCGTCTCTCATACAATTATAATAAGTGACAATTTCTATTGAAATTGGCATGTTTATAAACGGTCAAGAAAATGACAGATTCCAAACACATGAAGCACTGCAGGTGTATCAAGTGTTACTTTAAATTCTTGAAGTTCACAAGAGATTACACATGAACTTTATAAAAAGATAAATTTTATTACACAAAAATAATTTAAATACTGTATCCCTGAATTCATTTGACCTATAATAGTATCCATTTCAAGAAGGCTCTCTGTAAAAGGGAAATTGATTTTAGTCTCAACAATTCCTTTTTTAGATAATGTTCCTGGTGGCACTTCCTTTGGCAGCAATAGACTGCTTTGAAAAAACTACTCTCTTTAGGTCTTACCAAAGCACCTCAACTGCGTTAAAGTTCAGACAAGGACTTCTTTATTCTTAAATGCAACAACTATTGTCTTGTGGTTCATGTTCTTTTAAGCTCCTGCTCACACCTCATGTAGAAATTTACAATGCAATCCAGATCTTTCAGTTTCCTAAATTTCTGCAATTTGTTCAGGTCCAGAGCCTGCAGAGAAGACCCAAACCACACTACCCCCAGCACAACGCTCAAATGCTGTGATGAGGTTATAATTTTGGAATGCATTGTTTAATGCCAAATACAACATTTTCTTTTACTGCAAAGTCCCACATTGGTTTCATCTGTCTGCATTCCTTATGCAGCCTTTCCATCCAGGTGGCCTTTCAAAATGAAATTGAAGGCAATGTTTATGTTCAAGAAATGTAGTTTCCCCCTAGATATGTGTAAAAGCACACCACACTCTTATGAGTGGTTTTAGTATTTTTGACTCAAAAGTGCAGATACTGGCCAATTAAATAGATGTAAAAAATAAATAGGGGGGCGGAGCCAACTGCCGAGCTGATCAGACGCCATTTCTGACAGCTCCGACATCTAAACTAAAATCTCGCCTAAATCTTGAACATCAAGCCTGATCCCACCACCCCAAACACATACACCGACTTGGGAACCCGCACTGCATCGATAGATGCCCTTCTTTGCGAAAACAAAGACGCCGAAGCAGAAGCGCAAGCCCGGGGCCTACTCCACGCACACACTGCCTACCCTAGAGGCGCTCTACGGTGGAGCCTATCAAGGCCCTACAAGCAACCCTGGCATCGGATCCCCTTCCACCTCGGGAGACTTCATGCCCGCCATGGGGCGACACTCCCAGAAAGCTGGAACCCAGATAGAAGGTAGAGACATCGGGGCCATGCTTCAGCGGCCTGCTAGGCCCAAACAGACCCCAGAGGAAAATCAGCCTAGTCCTACCCAAACAGATCAATCTGAACTAACCGAGAGAAATAACCTCTATAAAGCACCACCAGCATCCCCGGAGGGATCACCACCAGCGACTAAACATGACCTACAAATCCTCCTACATGACTTTCACAAAATCCTGTCGCAAGAACTAGCAGGAATAAAAGCAGAGTTACAGAGCACAAAGGACCGGGTACAGGCCACAGAGGCTGATATAGCCGAAGTTACCACTAATCTAACAAAAGTGCAAGACTCGGTACACCAGCTCCAAAAATCCCACCACAATATGGCCTTACACCTGAACGCCCTCGAGAACAGCCATAGACTCAACAACATCAAGGTACGAGGCACCCCTGCAGGGATCACCACTGATGAGCTGCCGCACTACACAAGAAGGCTACTGGCAACAATCTTACCTCCAGCGGCGGCAAGAAAAATGGTGATTGATGGAATATACCGGGTCGCGGGTCCCCCCAAGAGCCGACTCACAAACAGCTCGGGATGTTATACTTCGCTGTGCATCTTCCTCTGACAAGGGACAAATAATGACAGCGCTGCGGGGCAAGACCCCACTAATGTTTGAAGACTCTAGTCTCACCTTCTACCAGGACTTGACGAGGGCCACCTTACAGTGGCGCCGATCACTTCATCCAGTGACCCAACAACTACGTACCGCCAATATCACCTACAGGTGAGGAGCGCTGGGCTCACTCTTAACTACACACAATGGGACTACCCTCACACTTACCTCGCGGAAGCCTCATCTTTTCTTGAAACGGTGGGACTGACAACTGTAGATACATCAGAGGGCCAGAGGGGCCTAGATAACGGCACTCCCTTGGCTTGAAGCACCGGCCAGATGCACCGCCTGCCCACCCAATCACGGCGAGAAGAAACAACACCAAGGACACTACAAAAAGACTATAAGTATTCGGCTCACCCAGATAATAGCAATGCGAATGTTGGTTTATATGTATATAGATTGAATACCTCAGAACACTTACCATCCCCAACCTGTATTACAGGGTCTTCTATCTATACTCCTTTGACAAACGGGGACCCCCCTTAAGGGCACCCAGACCCACCTTAGACAGCATTCCGAGATGTTCTACCAACCCCCCTCCCGCCGCCCCCTTGGTTTGGGGCACAAATAGCAAAACGATACATAAACGATCTAGTGAAACACGCAGACATACAGGGAGTGCAGAATTATTAGGCAAATGAGTATTTTGACCACATCATCCTCTTTATGCATGTTGTCTTACTCCAAGCTGTATAGGCTTGAAAGCCTACTACCAATTAAGCATATTAGGTGATGTGCATCTCTGTAATGAGAAGGGGTGTGGTCTAATGACATCAACACCCTATATCAGGTGTGCATAATTATTAGGCAACTTCCTTTCCTTTGGCAAAATGGGTCAAAAGAAGGACTTGACAGGCTCAGAAAAGTCAAAAATAGTGAGATATCTTGCAGAGGGATGCAGCACTCTTAAAATTGCAAAGCTTCTGAAGCGTGATCATCGAACAATCAAGCGTTTCATTCAAAATAGTCAACAGGGTCGCAAGAAGCGTGTGGAAAAACCAAGGCGCAAAATAACTGCCCATGAACTGAGAAAAGTCAAGCGTGCAGCTGCCACGATGCCACTTGCCACCAGTTTGGCCATATTTCAGAGCTGCAACATCACTGGAGTGCCCAAAAGCACAAGGTGTGCAATACTCAGAGACATGGCCAAGGTAAGAAAGGCTGAAAGACGACCACCACTGAACAAGACACACAAGCTGAAACGTCAAGACTGGGCCAAGAAATATCTCAAGACTGATTTTTCTAAGGTTTTATGGACTGATGAAATGAGAGTGAGTCTTGATGGGCCAGATAGATGGGCCCGTGGCTGGATTGGTAAAGGGCAGAGAGCTCCAGTCCGACTCAGACGCCAGCAAGGTGGAGGTGGAGTACTGGTTTGGGCTGGTATCATCAAAGATGAGCTTGTGGGGCCTTTTCGGGTTGAGGATGGAATCAAGCTCAACTCCCAGTCCTACTGCCAGTTCCTGGAAGACACCTTCTTCAAGCAGTGGTACAGGAAGAAGTCTGCATCCTTCAAGAAAAACATGATTTTCATGCAGGACAATGCTCCATCACACGCGTCCAAGTACTCCACAGCGTGGCTGGCAAGAAAGGGTATAAAAGAAGAAAATCTAATGACATGGCCTCCTTGTTCACCTGATCTGAACCCCATTGAGAACCTGTGGTCCATCATCAAATGTGAGATTTACAAGGAGGGAAAACAGTACACCTCTCTGAACAGTGTCTGGGAGGCTGTGGTTGCTGCTGCACGCAATGTTGATGGTGAACAGATCAAAACACTGACAGAATTCATGGATGGCAGGCTTTTGAGTGTCCTTGCAAAGAAAGGTGGCTATATTGGTCACTGATTTGTTTTTGTTTTGTTTTTGAATGTCAGAAATGTATATTTGTGAATGTTGAGATGTTATATTGGTTTCACTGGTAATAATAAATAATTGAAATGGGTATATATTTGTTTTTTGTTAAGTTGCCTAATAATTATGCACAGTAATAGTCACCTGCACACACAGATATCCCCCTAACATAGCTAAAACTAAAAACAAACTAAAAACTACTTCCAAAAATATTCAGCTTTGATATTAATGAGTTTTTTGGGTTCATAGAGAACATGGTTGTTGTTCAATAATAAAATTAATCCTCAAAAATACAACTTGCCTAATAATTCTGCACTCCCTGTAGGAGTGAAGCCAAAAGGAACGTAAATACACTCCTGACCCTCCTGTCACATAACCATACACAGACACCACCCCTAACGGCGACACACCTAGTTGCAGATCTTACAAGGTATTGTTTATTAGGAGCAGGGACCTGAGATAGTGACACAACGGACCTACGATAAAAACCTTCTTAGCTCCACACCTAGTCTCAGACCTGCAACTATAAGCTTTGATTCACCCCGTGAGCACTGACATGCCCTGTTGCACCCGAAAAGCACTCACCTCATCACCGACATGTCCTATCAAATGCAGTAGATATATTACAAAAAGTGCTGTCTAATCGTTGATACTTACCTATGCCTCACAATTGTATGCTTGTTCATAACCTACTTCTGCTGTTGTGGCAGAATAGGTAAAATTGTTCTATTATCGCACGACTAAATAAAGAATTTAAATAAATAAATAAATAAAGTTGCCATTGACCTTTTCCCGCGATGTGATTTTTCTGGAGTTTTGTTTTTGGACTAATTTTAGTCAGACAACACATGGGAAAGATGACAGAGTGTAACCCCATCTGCTCGAATATGAGCGGCGACAGGCTAAAATTTTAAAGGGACACTCCAATAATAAACTCCAAAATAAAAAAAACCCTCTTAGTAAACTAAACATACCCCAAATTCATGCATTTTTTTCATTGAGGGTAAATCTAAAGACAGTTGGCAAAAGCTGCAGTTCTCATCTGCTACCTTTGCAAGCCATCCTCTCCTAACCCAGCTCACACTTTTCTGTGTTTGTCCAATCACAGACTTACCAATGCAGTTGATGATCTGGGCAAATGCTGCCTCTGGAGTTATACTCCACTGAGTTAAACAGCCAGGACGTAACAGGACCAGTTGTCTGCTTGACAGCCAGGGGGTGTAACCAGGTGAATATACAAAGAGTGCACATTTCTATTAAAATCTGCACTTTTTGTAAAGAGGTTCAAAGAAGACAACTGTGACACATTAATTACCGTCCTACTGTGTTTTACACCCCACCTCCTATAGACTGTAAGCTCGTTTGAGCAGGGTCCTCTTCAACCTATTGTTCCTGTAAGTTTTCATGTAATTGTCCTATTTATAGCTAAATTATCCCTCTTATAATATTGTAAAGCGCTACGGAATCTGTTGGCGCTATATAGATGGCAATAATAATTAAATAAATGAAATGGAGAAATTTCCACATCTCTGGCATTATATCATTGAATAAAACATTTAACCTACAAAGAATTTAAACTTTTTCTTTCCCCATGAGATGTTTTGTCTTTTGTTTTTATTAACCAGCGATATCTGATCCAGTTCAGACAAGGCAAATAACGCAAAGGAGTGGAAATAGAAAACTGTATCATTTCTAATCGTCTTTATAGCTTTCTCTATGCTGACTGCCAGGTGCAAAAGATAGAACTTATATCGATGACTGACATGGAGCTAAGATGGAGGCTCACAATTTCAGAACCAAGGTGTGAATTTCTATTTGTAATTTCCTTTTTCACGCAGTGGTAATACATATTTGTTAAATACAGGGATATGCAAACCCTGGCAAGTTACAGTTCCCCTATAAAGTGACTGTCACTTTTGAGCTTTTCTTAAAGATAGAAACTTTATGAAATGTTTTTTTTGGCTGTGTTGGAGTTTCTTTGAAACTGCAATGCAATCGAAAGATATACAAGAGACAAAGTAGGGACATGCAAGTGGCAAACTTTGTCAAAAATTAACAAAAGGCAGGGAGGTTCCCGTCAGCAATTGGCTGTGACAGCTGAACAAGCATTATCAGGCTAGATTTGCAGTAGATGTCAAAGGCCTCTTTTTGTGCATGAGTTTTATTATCTTTAGAGGATTCGGCTAAATCACTGCACCCTCCATAAACACTGTTTTGGGCGCTCATGTATGCGTGAGAAGTATGACCACAAGAAGATGGCATCCAATCGGATTTGTAAAAAACGCAAAGACTGTACAACTGACAAAGTTGGTTTAATATTAAGTAACACTAATTTGGGCTGAAATCACTCATGTTTGTTAATGTGTTACTTTCATACACTCCCATTGCTACCATCCAAACAAAAACAAACCTATTTTGAATCAGAAAGGGGAAACATTATTATTAAGGTGTATAGTAATTATAGACCAACTTTACCAAAAAACATCCAGACCATTTAGATATCTCCTAATATGAGTGGACTTTTCGGTAAGAACCTTCATACATAAATAGAATTACGGTCTAGAAGGTGAGTAAGGGAGATTATCTCAATTGGTTGCTTGAAATTTTTTGAACATCATGCCCCCAAGTCAAGACATGTACAATCTGTAGCCAATCAATGATTAAATGCATTGAGTCATCACCATGTTTTTTTTTGGTTTGGTGACTGCGTCCCATGTTAAAGATATGAAACCTAGAGATACGATATTAGCAAAATGACTTTGTAAAATGTTGAGATATTTACCTGTCCAGAGACAGTGGGAACCGCAGGCCAGAAGTACGAGGAGTTGAAGTGAGACTCCTCCATGGTCCTGGAGTGAAGAGAGATTATAGACAGGTAAAAATAAGCAGTATGTAAAGAAAACTATTACAAACGAGTGAAATTAGAAAAAAAATTGCAGGCTATATTTTGATTTTTCCACACTACAACTCCACATGTCCCTAAAAGATAATTTGATTAGTCCAGAAAGAGAGAGCATGTCCCCATTACACCACTCTGGTTGAGTGGCTTCTTTAACCCCTTAAGGACCAAACCTCTGGAATAAAAAGGAATCATGACATGTCACACATGTCATGTGTCCTTAAGGGGTTAAAGGACCATTCCAACCCCGATTACAATTTAAGCTCATTTAAGGTGAGATGGCTGCAAGAGTATCCAGGTTCCTTCTAACTTTCACGGATTAAACAGTCTAAATCCAAAGTTGTGGGTTCAGCACCCAGCAAATCTGCCTCTCAGTTTACGTACTATGTCTCTCAATGAGCACCCACTGAAAGTTTATCAATGACGTTCCGGCTAAACCTTCCTCATACAGTGCAGAGGAGAAGTAAACTGAGAGGCAGAGTGCTAGAGCCCCAACTTTGAGGTTACACCATTGCCAATATTTGACCACTGAAGATAAGGTGTTCAGGCAATCCTGCACACCAACAACTTAAATAAGCTTAAGTTGTTATGGTGGAAGGAGTGTTCCTTTAAGAAACCATATCCTGCATTGTCAAAAAACCTTCATCTAAAGAACTGATCCTTTGAGTATTGCAGCTGCAGGCCACATGTGGAGGAATTCTAAGGTTGATAAGCACCTGCTTCAACTAACAATCTTCAAGGACACACGTAAGGGAAAGGGAATTTAAAAACCTGGCTTGTAGGGTTAGCACCCCTAATGAAAGTTCTAGGCTGCTGGTTCACTTACCCCACTGCGCGATCCTTCTTATTCACTTCTTTAAACACTACAGAAGTGTACACAGCACTCAAGATGTTTCAAATTAATTCATGGAGAAGGTTTGGTGAAAAAGCCTATTAGAGAAAAAGAAAAGGAAAATTTGGTACTTTTAAAACACCAATGTTCAATAAAAAAGACAGGATGGGCTAGAGTATGTGCAGGATTGTTGGGGTGTGGTCAATGAAAAGTAAGAAAAGGGTGATCTATAAGATGGGACATGAGCATATTTTATAAAATCACACTAAAACTAAAGAACTGACAAAAGAACTGCACATTTTAGGCCATGATAGTTGAGCCAGAGAGCTTTTCCATTTTGGATGTTCAGAACAAATATTTGCCTTTTTCCCTTATCAATTCAGAATGCCCTCTTTAGTGAACAATGCCATGAATAAATAGTCACGCGGTAACCAGTGGGTTATTTTGGATCTGTGCTGCCCTAGGCATTACGGAACTTGGGCACCCCCTAATTTAGATTTTCGCCACCCCTTCCTGTCAAAGCCACACCTCTTCCTGTTAACAATTAACACACTGACTGACAAACACACTCTCAGATACACTGACAGACACACAGACACTCACTGATTTGACACAATCTGACAGACACACACATAATCACTCACTCACAGACAGACAGACAGACAGACACACACACACACACACACACAACCCACCACTCACAGATAATTTTTTATTTTAATTTAAATCCACCCGGCCTCCCTACCTTTGGGAGAGCTGGGTGGATTTTTTTTACCTGGGGTCCAGTGGGGCTGCTGGCCGGGCTGTTTGGGCAGACGGGTGACCAGTTGAGGTCCAGACGAGCGGCGAGAGAGCACTGATTTCTGAGCTCTCCCTGCTCAGCGCGCCGCAGAGTGATGCTAGGAGCCGGAATGTGACATCATGTTCCAGCTCCCGGCATCACTCTGCGGCGCGCGAGGGAGCTGAGCAGGGAGAGCTCAGAAAACAGCGCTCCCTGGCCGCCCACCTGGACCTCAGCTAGACGTCTGCCCCAAGGCTAACAAGGCATTCGTCTGGGCATTTGGGGGGCTGCGTTTTTTGCTGCTCCCTGGAAAATGCCACCCAAAGCAAATTACTTGTTTGCCTCGCAGGAAAGTATAGCACTGGCGGTAACTCTGGTCATGGCAGTTTTAACTCGGAGACTGCTTAAGCCCTTTACTGCACAAAAAGCAGACAGGCTGTCAGTCTGAAATAAAGTTGTACATTTATTGGAACCAGTTGCCAACTACTTTGCGTTATGTAGCTTCCCCTCCACTTGACCAAACTTAACTAAAGGAGTGGCTTCCTTTGTGAAGTTTTGTCACTAGTATCGACTGGGGGAATAAAGCATTGCCTCGCTCATTGTGAGAAGATACCTAGAGGCTCGCAGGATCCTCCATAGACCCCTTAGTTTTGTACTCTCACACATGCACAAGTGTACAGCACAGAGGTGGGCTACTAGCAGATAAATGAAAAGGATCCAACAGATGCAGATAGCAGCAGCCGCATGAGACAGATTCAGGTAAGTAAAATGTAACTTCCTCTGCACCATGTGGCCAGTGGACACCATGCGATGAAGTCAACATCGGGAAACTTTACAATTTATGTATTAGGTATACAGGGCATTTTAGACTGCTATTAGAGCTTTTTAAAAATCCCTACAATGTGCTCAGAGTCCACCACTTCCTTATGACTAAATGCAGCCATAAATATTAATCTACAAAAAAAGGTTAACCAAGATGTTTGTGTAGTGGTGGCAGTCTATTTACTGGAACCACAACATCTGAAGCACTGTATAACATCAGGAGCATCTTATTCTGGCATGTGGGAACTGATCTTTTCCCATAAACTCTGTCCATCAGTGGTTTATGGGAAAAGAAGTTTAGCCCCTTGCAGCAGTTAATGCCAAACTTGATGGCAAGTACACTAACACAAACTAATCACAACCATATTTTGGGGGGGGGGAGGTCTTGAGTTAGGGAGCTATATATTTACTTGACGCCTTTCCTCATGAGCACCACCATGTATCTTCAGCTCCAAAGACTTAGTCAATCGAGCATTCTTACATCGTACATGCTCAAGAATGAAAAAAGGGGGTCTATAGAAGATCCTGCAAGATATTTCATAGACCACCTCACGCATGCACATAAAAGATACCACTAGACAGCGCGACGGAGCAGAGAGGAGCCGCAGTAAGATCACTGCTCCATCGCTGCCCCTGCCTGCCGCCTCCATTAACCCTGAGCCAACCGCCCCCATGCTCCCCAGGGCGGTTGGCTACATGCTCCCTGAGCCGGCCGGCCCCATTCTCCCAAGGTGGTCGGCTACATGCTCCCTGAGCCGGCCGGCTGCCCCCATGCTCCCAAGGTGGTCGGCTACATGCTCCCTGAGCCGGCCGTCCCCATTTACCCCAGGACGGTCGGCTACATGCTCTGTGAGCTAGCCGCCTCCATTAACCCTGAGCCAACCGCCCCATGCTCCCCAGGGCGGTCGGCTACACGCTCCCTGAGCCGGCTGCCCCCATTCTCCCAAGGTGGTCGGCTACATGCTCCCTGAGCCGGCCGCCCCCATTCTCCCAAGGTGGTCGGCTACATGCTCCCTGAGCTGGCCGCCCCCATTCTCCCCTGGGCGGTCGGCTACATGCTCCATGAGCTGGCCGCCCCCGTTCTCTCCAGGGCGGTCGGCTACATGCTCCCTGAGCTGGCCGCCCCCGTTCTCTCCAGGGCGGTCGGCTACATGCTCCCTGAGCATGTCGCCATGGCGCCTGTGATTTGTCGAGCCCTGCTTTAGTGGAGATCTTCTCTAGATCCAACATTGCTTAGGTTCCTCCCAGGATGTTCTACAAATTTAATGAAATATTAGAGGCAAGGTGGGTGCAATGAAAGGTCCACCCATTGAAACATTTCCCAGCATCCAGCCCATTACAGTAATCTTTGAGCTGACTGATATGACTAAAATTAAACAGTTTTTTTTTTTTTTTTTTTAAATTGAACAAAGGGTTTGTAACTACCAGGGCCTTCTTTATAGCACAGATAGTATTAAAGGAACACTAAAGGATAGTATACAGATAGTATTAAAGGAACACTTTGACATAATTAGGTGGTCTGTGTGCCATGGTCCTGTCATTTCGGCCCTACAATGTAACACTGCCATTTAGCAGATACAGCAAGGGCCAATCACACTTCCAGTGGCTGCATTCCAAACCGCCACTAGAAACACTTTTGTTGTGTGAGGCAAGTCAGACTTGGTTCTCACACCTCGCCTCCCATGAATGTTTCTCATCGATTGGAGGAGCATGGTGCTCGCCATACCTGCACTTCTTGCCCTATGAGGAGCATTGGCAGCAACACCTGCTAGATGACTATGTGGGAGGAGCGCGTGGCTGAACTGAGTGATACACAATAAATTAAATCATTTTTTTTCCCTTTTAAATTTAGGTGACTGTTTAAGTATAAAAAGGGTGTTACTATAGTGTGAGGAATACAAACATATTCATAACACTATAATCTTCCTTTAAAGTGTTACTCCAATTTTATTTCAGAAGTACCCTGGCAATGAAGCAAACCATTTATTAAAGGCCCACCCCCTCTCGCGCTGATGATCTCCGGTGGACCGGTGAGGCTCTTCTGTAAAACACGTAAGCCGTGGCCATTGCCATTCATTAACAGAAAGTCAGCGAACCACTCTCAGCCAAAAGGTACAGAGCAATTGGGAGGGCATGTACTCCTCCCCTAATAAAAGTTTGGATGCAAAACTCCAATGTCAGGCTTGAAAAAGACCTGAGGTTGGGTCGAAACTTTGTCAGTTCCACTGGAACTTTGGTATTGTGGCTCCTTTATTGGTTTTCCACGCTCAGCCAATGACTGACATTCTGTGCAATAAAAGTTGCACAGAATTGATATTAGCCAACCCCGAACCTTAGTTCCAGTGTGGCTGACGACACTCCAATGATGCTACTGGAGGTGTGGTTATCCCTCAAACACTGCACATACAGACTTCAGGCACCATGACCCCTTCAAAACACTGAACTGGTCATGGTGCTTGGAATAACCATATAAGCATCAACAGACAAGTCAAACAACCATTTACTTAGACTTGCACAGACAAATACTAGGAAATAAACGGTTTGAAATTCAGATTTAGGTCAACGTCACATGAATTCAATAGATTTTATTTCTAACCAGTAGTGCCCACTTGTCATTAAACGTGATCAAATTCCTATACAGTCACCACCAAGGGGTTTATTCGTTAAACACCAAATTATAGCCAATTAAAATACAAAGGGCAATATCTAGGCTCAAAAAGCGGATCTGAAAAATTACCCAACTTGGCTCTAGTCACTGCTGGCTTTATTTTAGCCATTTTTACCATTTGAATTTCAAATAGCTGCAATTCAGAGTTTAGCAAATCAACCACCTCGAATAACAGATTGGTTTCTATCGCAAAAACAAGTATACAGTTTCTAGCTTTTGATCAAAGGCTAACTTCGTGCTTTACCAGAGGAGCGACTATCTGTAAACTTGCAAAAAACAAACAAATAAAACCAATATAAAAAATACTCCACGGAGTGATGATGAATGGCACAAAAAAAAAAAAAAAAAAAAAAAAAAAAAAAAAAAAAAAAAAAAAAAAAAGAGAGAGAGACACTTAGAGAGAGATAATGTTAAACAAAAATCTGCACACCAGTCAAGCCATAAGACTTGCTTTTCCCACACAAATCAGAATTCTTTGCAGTAGTAACACCACTGCAAATTTGTGATTTCTGTGGAAAAGCAAGTCTTATGGCTTGACTGGTGTGCAGATTTTTGTTTAACATTTGTCAAAGTTATTAACTGCCTAATCGTGGCTAAATCCAAAGGCCACTTACTCCAAACTAATTCTTCTTGACTACTCTGCTGCCTTTGACACCGTTGATCATGCTCTCCTTCTGAAAACTCTTCACTCGGTCTTTGTGACACAGTCCTCTCTTTTTTTTTTCCTCCTCCCTCTCCCAACGCTCAGTGTCTCCTTTTCTAATGATACCTCCTCCATTCATCCTGTCTCTGTCCCCCTTCTATTTTCTCTTTATACTGCCTCTCTTGGCAAACTTATTGCCTCATTTGGATTCCACTACCGCCTGTACGCTGATGACACCTAGCTATATCTCTCCTCTGCCATCCTGCAACGTATAACTGCTTGCCTTTCCTCCATCTCTGACTGGATGTCCTCCTGCTTTCTAAAACAGTCTTTCCTCCTCCTAATACTGATCCCTCTTCTTTCGCTCTCCCTTCAAATCAGTGGTATCCACCTCAGCCCATCCTTGCAAGCGCGCTGTCTTGGTGTCATATTTGATTCTAGCCTCACCTTTAAGCCTTACATCCAGCATGTTACCAAATTATGTAGATTCATCTTAAAAATATAGCCCACATCCGCCTCTTTCTTACGCAAGATGGTATCAAAGCGCTTGTCCATGCTCTAGTAATTTCCCGCAGGGATTAGTGTAACCCTCTCCTAATTGGTCTTCCCAAAAACCGTATTGCCCTGCTACAGTCTGTAATGAATGCTGCCGCCAGACTGATTTTCCTCTCTAGTCGGTCCTCTCACACCTCACCCCTCTGTCAGTCCTTACATTGGCTATAGGAGTCAATTCAAAACGCTAACCCATACTTATAAAGTATTGAACAATTCTAGCCCCTCTTATACATCTCCACAGATCCATAGGTATGCCCCTTCTCGGTCTCTCCACTCTGCCCGTGACCTTCTCTTGTCCACTTCTCACACCCGTACAACCAACTCGCGCTTGCAGGACCTCTCGCAGGCAGCTCCCTTCCTATGGAATAGCCTGCCTACCGACATCAGACTCTCCCCTAGTCTTCAATCGTTTAAGAAGTGCCTTAAAACCCATCTTTTTAGGAAAGTTTATGGTCTCCCAGAGTAACCTCTACTTCACATACCTGTCTCTTGCTCGTTCCTGAAGGACAGCACTCTCTCTCCTCCAGCTCTGCTTCAGTCCCACCTATTTTGACTGCTATTTCCTGTCCTAATGTGTTTTATTTCCCACCTCCTATAGACTGTAAGCTCATTTGAGCAGGGAGTACACCCTTTCTTAGTTTGTTATATACTCAACGCGGGTTTTTGCACCCAGGCAAGTGAACTATGCAAGTTATAGTTTGAGGTGTGCCAAGCATAATATATATCTATCCAAAAAAATACCGGCACTCAAGGGGTTTCCAAACATAAATCTTCTTTTATTCCAAAAACGACATCTGATGGAAACTCCTTGAGAGCCGGTATTTTTTTGGATATATTATTACAGCTACCAGAGCACCAGGTATTACTTTTCTTTGGTTGGAGTGCAGGAATTGTGTGTGTATGTGTATATATTACACATACATATACATACATACACACACACTGCTCAGTGAGTGTCCGTCCGTCCGTCAGTCAGTCAGTGAGTGCGTGCGTGCGTGCCGGTCAGTGTTGCGATGGCCGTGGCTGGACAGTGGAGGTGCATGGAGGCACACAATGCCACGTCACATCACATTTGAACTTAACGTCAACGTGCTCCACCTTCACAGAGTTTCAAGAAGTAGCAGGAGGATCTGCTTTGGCACAGGGTGTGGACGGCGCCATTTGAGGTATACCAGAGGCCGGACTGCGGAGTCGCATACTGGCAGCGTCAATGTGAGTATAGTCTACTTGTTGGCTAGAGGGGGGTGCTGGGATTTAGTATATGGGGGGGCAAGGACTGGGATTTAGTAGAGGGAGATGCTGGGTTTTTTTTTTATAGTGTACTTTTCATAATAAACCAATGTTTCTATGAAAATTTACATGTTTGCTTTTTTTTTTTTGCACCCCACAAACTTGAACCTTGTTTATTTGGCCCTTGCTATACTTTGAGTTTGATATGCTTGCTCTAAAGCTTAACAAATCCATGGCGACAGGTTGTCATCCTTGCACATAAATAAGATTTAATTTAGGGGAAAATCAAAATATTTCCCCTGAATATTTTTCCCTACAGACCACAAGGTAGCTGGGGGTCTGTGATAACCAGATGCAACACATCCTCTGAGAGAGAAGTAACAATACTCTGCTGGTGGCAAAAGGACTACTGCAGCAGTCCTACTGCAGAAGCAATGAATATAAATGCTGCAACTCCGTCTCTCTGCTTCCTAGTTCCAATGCAAGTGTGTGGTTAATTAGGTGTGAAAGAGTATGGTTACTTTGGTAAGTAACAGTGACTAAAGTATTAATTGTGATTGACCCATTGTACAGCACTGTGGAATTTTGCTGGCACTATATAAATAAAAAAAAATAATTATGGAAGTTTAGCTAAGAGTGATAAATCAGGTCTCATGGGAGAGAAGTGGCAAATAAATATAAGAGCGAGAATAATGAATAAATCAAAGTTTGTTAAATATCTGCAATCTAGTACCCAGACTAAATTTGTCAGTATCCTAGATTGCCAAAATTAGACAACCCCTGATTTACACAGTATAGCTATGAATGAGAACATAAACTCATAGAACAGTGCTCATATTATGTTCATATATATCGTAACCATGAAAATGTCTAATGCTACAAAGAAATATAGGATATATCTATGTTTAACAAAGTGTGGAGCCCCTGTCAGTTTATAGTTCATATCCACATATATCAATGAACATTAAGGAGCTAGATTGCTATTACAGTATACTTGTATCACAGACATTATATTCAGGATATTTCTTATATTAGCGTTTTATTTTATTTTGATTGCAGCCACTTAGTATTTAGTATTTATCTTTAAACAGTGTTGCAACAATGACCATAAATTCATATTTTCCACGCATAACGTTTATGTACTGCTCAGCAACCATACAGTATGACACTGATTCATGTTAAATAGAGGTATTCTTGATAGAGTATATACCCACACATACTAAACACTATATTAGGAGGAGGCATTCCTGATACAGTAAATACCCCACATTCTAAACAATATATTAGGAGGAGGCATTGCTGATATAGTATATACCCACACTTTATAAACACTGTATTAGGAGGAGGCATTCCTGATATAGTATATACCCACACATTATAAGCACTGTATTAGGAGGAGGTATTCCTGATATAGTATATACCCACACATTATAAACACTGTATTAGGAGGAGGCATTCCTGATACAGTATATACCCACACATTATAAGCACTGTATTAGGAGGGGGTATTCCTGATATAGTATATACCCACACATTATAAGCACTGTATTAGGAGGGGGTATTCCTGATATAGTATATACCCACACATTATAAGCACTGTATTAGGAGGGGGTATTCCTGATATAGTATATACCCACACATTATAAGCACTATATTAGGAGGAGGCATTGCTGATATAGTATATACCCACACATTATAAGCACTGTATTAGGAGGAGGCATTGCTGATATAGTATATACCCACACATTATAAGCACTGTATTAGGAGGGGGTATTCCTGATATAGTATATACCCACACATTATAAGCACTGTATTAGGAGGAGGCATTGCTGATATAGTATATACCCACACATTATAAGCACTGTATTAGGAGGAGGCATTGCTGATATAGTATATACCCACACATTATAAACACTGTATTAGGAGGAGGCATTCCTGATACAGTATATACCCACACATTATAAGCACTGTATTAGGAGGGGGTATTCCTGATATAGTATATACCCACACATTATAAGCACTGTATTAGGAGGGGGTATTCCTGATATAGTATATACCCACACATTATAAGCACTGTATTAGGAGGGGGTATTCCTGATATAGTATATACCCACACATTATAAGCACTATATTATTAGGAGGAGGCATTGCTGATGTATATACCAACACATTATAAGCACTATATTAGGAGGGGGTATTCCTGATATAGTATATACCCACACATTATAAGCCCTGTATTAGGAGGAGGTATTCCTGATATAGTATATACCCACACATTATAAGCACTGTATTAGGAGGGGACATACCTGATATAGTATATACCCACACATTATAAGCACTGTATTAGGAGGAGGTATCCCTGATACAGTATATACCCACACATTATAAGCACTATATTAGGAGGGGGCATTGCTGATACAGTATATACCCACACATTATAAGCCCTGTATTAGGAGGGGGTATTCCTGATACAGTATATACCCACACATTATAAGCACTGTATTAGGAGGAGGCATTGCTGATATAGTATATACCCACACATTATAAGCCCTGTATTAGGAGGGGGTATTCCTGATAGTATATACCCACACATTATAAGCACTGTATTAGGAGGGGGTATTCCTGATATAGTATATACCCACACATTATAAGCACTATATTAGGAGGAGGCATTGCTGATGTATATACCCACACATTATAAGCACTATATTAGGAGGGGGTATTCCTGATATAGTATATACCCACACATTATAAGCCCTGTATTAGGAGGAGGTATTCCTGATATAGTATATACCCACACATTATAAGCACTGTATTAGGAGGGGACATACCTGATACAGTATATACCCACACATTATAAGCACTGTATTAGGAGGAGGTATCCCTGATACAGTATATACCCACACATTATAAGCACTATATTAGGAGGGGGCATTGCTGATACAGTATATACCCACACATTATAAGCCCTGTATTAGGAGGGGGTATTCCTGATACAGTATATACCCACACATTATAAGCACTGTATTAGGAGGAGGCATTGCTGATATAGTATATACCCACACATTATAAGCACTGTATTAGGAGGGGGTATTCCTGATATAGTATATACCCACACATTATAAGCACTGTATTAGGAGGAGGCATTGCTGATATAGTATATACCCACACATTATAAGCACTGTATTAGGAGGAGGCATTGCTGATATAGTATATACCCACACATTATAAGCACTGTATTAGGAGGAGGCATTGATACTGATTATAAGCACTGTATTATACCCACACATTATAAGCACTGTATTAGGAGGAGGTATTCCTGATATAGTATATACCCACACATTATAAGCACTGTATTAGGAGGAGGTATCCCTGATACAGTATATAATTAGACACATTATAAGCACTGTATTAGGAGGAGGTATCCCTGATACAGTATATAATTAGACACATTATAAGCACTGTATTAGGAGGAGGCATTGCTGATACAGTATATAATTAGACACATTATAAGCACTGTATTAGGAGGAGGTATCCCTGATATAGTATATACCCACACATTATAAGCACTGTATTAGGAGGGGGTATTCCTGATACAGTATATAATTAGACACATTATAAGCACTGTATTAGGAGGAGGCATTGCTGATATAGTATATAATTAGACACATTATAAATATAAACCCAGGCTATCCCTCCCATTATGGCGAGCTATGTAGAATGTCACTGGATATTGTGATAATGAGCCCCAGGGGCAGCACATACCCTTCACTCACACGCTGACACACCGAGTATCACTGTGAATGAGTGTGAGTGGGTATTGTGAGTTAAGGAGAGCGAAGCTGGGATTCCCCACTCCCTGAGTCACCTCTACTCAGGGTACACTCACATATTGGGGATCAATCACCTCACACGTTATTACCTCGCTCCCACTCAGCCTCCGGTTCCTCAGCTCTTCGCACCGCTTCCGCTTCCGGTCCCCGCGGGGGAAGCGCGTTCACAAGCCGCTCGCTCCCAGGACTTCCTTTCGCGCGTTCGCGCCTCTGGCCGCCATGTTTACTGTGGGCACACCCCGACTGTTCGGACACGTTGTATAAGACTTCGGTGGTGAAATGAGCACCTCTTGCCTCTCATTCTATATTTTGCGGCTGAACCCAATTCACCTTCAGGGAACACATCAAGCTTAAACGTCGATATCAAACACGTCGCCCAAACCCAAGATGGCGACCGTAGCCTCTAACGCGATGACGACATATCGCGCCTCCAGCGGCACGTAGGGGGACTCCCACTTATTGCTGGACGAGGGCGTTTTTTTTTTTATCCGCCATTTTTTTCCGCAATTTATCTTTATTGACAAAAAGAAACAAACAGTTTATTGTGAAGCGAGGGAAACTCACCTAGTGAATTAGTTTATGTTCTCTATATAATCCCATGCTCCCCACCCCTTAAATAAAGTAAGACTCAGGTCCAGTGACCAGAAGCCCAGAGTCCCATCAATTTACATGGATCTAACAAACCGAGAGATTTATAAAGAATCCCTTCTTCTATTTATAGCGAGCAAATCATCAAACTTCACATGTTGGCAACTTGCCCTATAACTGAGATTAAATATGCTGTGAAACAGAATGTATGGCTTGTTATCAAAACCACCAAATAAAATTATATGGTGTGTAATTAGAACCCCAGAAAAAAAAAAATATATATATATATAAATAAAGGAACATTATCAAACCGCTGTAAAAATAATAAATATAACACACATTACACAAATTCAAGACAAAAAAAAAGTAGAGCATTACTGAAACCCCTGTAAAAACCAAAATATATGGCACGCTATGTGTTGCATTATCTAAATGCCATTGCTGAGATATATGTTAACGTGTGGCAGAATATAAAGCAAAACCTGTAGCTTATTAGGGGATTTTTGGTATATTTTCTAGCTGTCTGAAATCATTTGTGGCCCATTATCAATGCCTGTGCCTGAATATGTTTTGCGGTATTTAAATGCCTATGGTAGATTGTCAGAACTGTCTAAATACCCGAGACAGAATTCAAGGTACATTGATTGTATGCGTTTTGACGTAATATATAACCATTTTTATTTCTATGACAGTGCCACACACAAAAAGAACGGTTTGTGCAATTATACTGTTTTGGACCAGATCAAGTGTCTGCCTGAGTATCTGCCCTTGTCCAGATTTTTGAAAGTCAGATGTGTGCACGCTGAAGAAATCACACTGACACCAACATTCAGATGAATGAAAACTTCCAATTGTTTATTCAGGGGGCGGGTGTGCATCGTGTGCAAATATGAAATGTAAACTTTTAATTGGTAGAGTGTTTAATCTCGATATACTTCCTCCAACGTGTTGATGTCAGGGGGTGCTCTAGCGGCCATTTTGAGTAAGGAATGAGCACAGGTGCATATAACAAATAGACATTTTACCTACATTTATTTCTATCCATCACAATACAAATTATTTTGTAATGTGTAAGAACTACAGCATGATATGGGATATTGTGTAATAATCACTATTTAGTAAATAAGCCTGTTTGACATTTTATTTCTCATTTACCCACTCACAGCCTCCAATGCAGCTCAGTGAGATTTGAAAGCTCTCTACACTGAGCTATGCACGGCAAGGCAGGGCTTCAAGGAACAATCCACTGCCCAAATATTAAAAACAAAACACGGTTTAGTACATTCACCCTCAATGAAAACATACATGCATTTAATTATGCATTTTCACTGGGATATATTTAAAACAGCTTGCAAAAGCTGCAGATCTCTTGTCTGCAGCCTTTGCAAGCCCTCCTCTGTATCCTGAATTTGCAAGCACTCCGCTTCTTATCCCGCCAAGATTTCTGTGGGTGTTCAATCGCAGACTTCTCAATGCAGTTCTGAGTCTGTATATGTGGACTAGGAATGATACGTTTCTGGGTTGTAAAACCCAATGATATTAGAAGAAATGAATGATGTTTATAGAGGTGTGATAGGAAAAAAGATTGGTCAGAACAAACGTGTGATGATCATCTGGGCAATCCTACTTTATAGTCACAGAACCACTACAGCTTAATGCAGTTGTTCTGCTGTCTATACCCTATTCCTGCAGACTTTTCAATGTAAACGCTGTCTTTTCAGAAAAAAAGGCAGTGTTTACATTACTGCGTAGTAACACCTCTAGTAGCAGTCACAGACAGGTGCTTTCTTTGTCAGTGCTGCACGATATGAAGCACCTACGTTCAGTGTCCCCATTGTTCCAATGCAGTTTGATGCTGTTTGATGCAGCACGGCATTAGGCCTAAATTACTGTTTTAAGTAAAGGTTTGAAATATGCCCCAAACAATTCTTTTAAGCCATTTGAAGCCTTTTTAGACATGAACAAATTTGTATGGAAAGCCACTCTTAAAAGGTTTTTTTAATGATAAAAATGCAGTGATTAACTCCTCTTCCCCACACCTATCCACTTCCACTGATGAACCTGTATTCATCAACACAAATCTTAGAGAGAAATCCAAGTTTTACCCCTCCAATTTTAAGTTTAGCCCTTCTTATCATGTTTGAAAATTTGGTTTTAAGTGATTTTAATAAAAATCAATCACAACAAATACAATTTTAATAATTTGACAATGTCTGAAAGACTAGCGGTGAAACAGCTTCAAGATGACAAAGATATTGTCATCAAGCCAGCAGAAAAGGGAGGAGGTCTGGTTACACGATCTAGTACCTTGTATATAGAAGAAGCTAACAGACAACTTAATGACGTTGAAGTATACGAAAAATTATCATCAGACCCAACTCCTAAAATACAAGAGATATTATCCTCATTTTAAAAAAAAAAAGGATTAGAATTTAATATATATATATTTTTTTTAATTCTTTATTTATAGGTTTTTCGTTTGGAATCGGGATGGTGGGATACAGAAAAGAAGAGGAGGGGGGGGAGGGCGGGTTTAAGTCCAGACATAACAATATGTGAAAGCAAATTTTGGTACCAACGCAGGGTACTATTTGACATTTGAAGTATACGTTTGTACCGGTTTTGTGTACTTATGAGACAGTTGTTTAAGAGTCGTTGAGTTGTGCTGTGAGTTTGTCCATAATATTTTAAACAAACAGGAATATCATTATTTAAATATAAAAAAATCAGAGAATTTCCTGTTATCTATTTCCTAGCCAAGATGCACAAGAACCTAAACTTTCCTCCGGGGAGACCTATTGTGTCCGGAATTAACTCTCCCCTGTGCAATCTGTCTCAATATTTTGACACTCTGCTCCAACCATCAGTCAAAGTAATGAGATCCTATTTAAAAGACTCCATGTCACTACTAAGATTTTTAAACAATTTTAACTGGCAATCAGATTTTATTTTAGTGACATGTGATGTCACCTCCCTATACACCATAATTCCTCACCATAAAGGCTGTCAAGCTATCAAGACTATTTTATCCCATGAGAAAAGACTTCCTGATATTCAAATAGATTTTATCTTGGAGGGAATTAATATTATTTTAAAAAGTAACTACTTTTGTTTTTTTTTAATTCTTTCTATCTTCAGAAGAGGGGTACTGCTATGGGGACCAGGTTTGCCCCCAGCTATGCCAACCTCTTTATGGCAGACTGGGAGTCCAGTGCCGTTTGGGATGGGCATGCCTGGGAGTCGAACCTGGTCTCCTATTTTAGATATATTGACGATTATTTTTTTTATATGGAAGGGCTAAGAGGATGCTCTCAACTCTTTTATCATACATTCAAATACCAATAATAGAGGTATTATCTTATCTTGTGAGCACAGCAAGGAGTTTATTCATTTAATAGATTTATATATTTTTATTAAAAAAATGGGACAATCCAGACAAAAAAGTTTTTTAAAAAGGTATGCACTAATACAGCCATCGACCAAACCAGTTGTCATTACAAACTGTGGCTTGAAAGTTCTCCCAAGAGACAATTCCTGTGTATACGTAGGAATTGTTCACACAGAAGATTTTAACGAACAAGCCCTTTTAAAAAAACAACAGAACTATTTATTGAAAAGAACTACTCTCCTACTAAACTAAACACCACCATAGAGAGAATTAGAAATCAACAAAAAGACAACCTTTTAATCTATAAAGATAAAAACATCTTCAGATTCCCCTTCTCTCCCTATAATTTTTAATTACAACAATAAAAGTGGTTATATAAAAAGGATAATTATAAAAAAACATTGGCACCTTTTAAGGCAAGATGACCTCCTTAACCCCTTAAGGACCAAGCTTCTGGAATAAAATGGAATCATGACATGTCAGACATGTCATGTGTCCTTAAGGGGTTAAAGAAATTTTACCTGAAAAAACAAATATTGTTTTTGGAGGTGCACCAAATTTTAGAACAATTTTAACAAATAATTACACTAAAGAAAATAAATTGATTACAAACCATACATTTTTAGAAGGGGCAAAGGATTTTACAAATGCAAACGGTGTATTGTCTCCAAGAGTACTGATTCTTTTACCCAGTCTAAAGTCACCCATTTTAAATCAAATAAAACCAACAAAAGCTATATTATTAAAGATTTTATTGGGTGTAATACTAAAAATGTGATTTACCTACTGGAGTGCCTATGTGGCCTCTAGTATGTAGGAATGACTACCAGATGTTTAAAAAAATGAGACTAGGTGAACACTGCAGAAATATTAAAAATGGATACCAAAACCACTCTGTATCGAAGCACTTTATCCATCACAATATAGATCCCAAACTCCTCAAATGTATAGGGGAAAAAAATGCAAGATACCATGGAGAGGTGGAATTATAAAAAAACATTTTAGGCAGCTTGGAAATGGAGTGGGTTTTCAATCTGCAGACCCTAGCTCCCCATGGTCTAAATGCTGATCTTGCATAACTTTTTATGATTCTCAGTATTTTATAAATGCTTATTTTTATATTCATTATTACTTTTTTCATACGCATTACCCTTGTTGTATTGTTTTTATTCTATCTT